GGATTTCGTCTGCTTGGACAGGATTAGTTCATATTGTGACGGCATTAAAATATCGTTATTTTTCTAGCGAATCTCTCGCATATCCCATATACTATGGAGGTGGTTTTATTTGTATTTTTATAAATCACCCTATATGTAGTTGACCTAAGACTTGTATGATGGCCATCTGTTAGCTCACCAGTGTCTAGTGATACGTTATTTGCCATATTTGTGATTTTCTTCGAACAGGCACTTTAAACATATACACAGAGTCCAAGAGAATTTCTTGCCGCGTGATATAGCTTTTCAATAAGACTACCACATGGTGAAATAATTATCACAAGCTTTCATTTGCGAGTACACAAAACCATGGAATCCTGATGAGAATATCTCAGAAAAATAACATTACTATGATCTAGGTAAAAGGGCAACTTCTATAAATGTGTAAACACTGCGGGTCTATTTCCATACTGACTGAATGCGGCCCTTCATTTGTTGCTTGTTTATATACTCAAAGAAATGACCTTTGAGCTTTCAGTAATGCTAAAAACCTGAACTCTTACAATAGATGTCCAACCTACTTTGAACTCTAAACTACATCTAAAGGTAGTACTATTGATATATATTTTTGATCATGCACTGTACATTTCTCTACACTAAAATTCTGTACGAGAGGTAATTTTTCAAAGGGGGGCACAAAGCAAGAGGTTGTGATTATTATCTGTCTTTGGAAAATGTATGTGCCATAAAAAAAAATGTCTGAGACTGAATTCCTGGGCCTTTTCATGCATTATTATTTGTCTCCCTTTTGAAGTTAAAAACAAAACAAAAAGAAATGGAAGCATTATACTATCAAATCTGCTGACAATATCATGAAATAAATCAATTAGATATCAAGGTCCTCACAAATGGAACTCCATGTTAAGTCATTTAAAGGGTGTTGAGAACCATAACGCATTTAAACTTACTGAAAAGAACAATACTTGCCACTTATTGATTTATTGAAATACATAATTGATTCATAAAATTTCGTTAGTATGTAACATTATTATTATTGTATTGTATTGTATCGTATTTCATCGTATTGTATTGTATTGTATCTGTATGTTTTTATGTTTGGGGTTGCTTGTTTACAAGTTTTTAACTTATTTTAGCAATCCCGGTATTTATAATGATTTCATTTGTAATGATTTCATTTTTATGTTTTTTTATCTTTTGCCGAATAAATTTGAATTTGAATTTGAATAAACACATGCTAATCATACAAGTAGCTATAGAGTGTACTGAAATATTTTAATATCGTCTGTTCAGGGCCAGAAGAACATCCACTTTGTCTTAAAGTTCATGAGTTAATGACCTTCTGGCTCCAGACACCTATGTAACAGGAGACACTGCATGATCGAGGGCCAATACACAACTGTATATAATTTTTTTTGTTAAAAGGTTGTGGCCCTTGTAAAGCCAAGTGCATCATGCTTAGCAGCAGTATATGCCTGCATGGGCAAGGGGCAAAGGCAACAAACCTGCAAAATACAATGCAATAACAAACATGTATAAATATATATTTCTTTTTTTTTTAAAGAGAGAATATAACAACAACAAAACGCGCAAAGCGCGGAAGCCTTGACGTTTTCTTACATTATAGGAGAAAGCAGACGATACAGTTCTCGATTCCTAATCCTAGTTTAAATTCAGTTTCCCCGAAAATTTTAAACCTCTGATTTCTTTTGCTGATATTATAGGAAGGTGAAACTTCGAGAAAATACAAGACTAGTTGTAGTCTCTCTCGATGTCATCAGAGCGGATGAGTCAGTTGAGTTCGTAGGGGGAAAAAATTGCCGGCCGGCCGACATTTTACATATCACCGACTTCAAAATTCTGCATTGAGATAGTACACGAGGATCGAGCAAGAATACCAACACAGCTGACCCGACACAGCAACATAATATATGCGTATCTTTCATGCTCCCTCGACGAGATGACTCCACCCAACAACCCCTCCCTCTTTTACTCCCACCCCTCCTCTCTCAGGCTCTTAACCCCTCCCCTCTCTCTTTCATTCCCCGTTTCTTTCGTTTCATTTTCGTTTTTCTACTTTTGTTTCCTTTTCTCCTTTTCTTTCTTTTCATTTTTTTTTTCCTTTCTTTCCTCTCTTTCCTCTTTTTCTTTTATTCTCTTTCTTTCTTCTCTTCTCTTTCCTACCCTTTCTTTCCTTTCTTTTTTCCTTTCTTTCTCTTTCCCTCTCATTTTTCCCTCCCCCTTTTCTCATTTCATTTTCTTTTGCCAGTATTTGTTAAGCATTCTGAACCACTTTGTGTGATATTTTGAATCTAAATAGTGCAATAAGGTGCCATAGCTCTCCTGCTATCCAACTGTGTGTTATGTAAAGTATAAGCAAAAAAAGGAAAGTAGCCTGCTGAGATTCATTTTATATATTTTTGCTGTTTAATCCTGTAATATAAATTATCTCTATACACATTCAGAGTTATAAAATCAGAGTTATAAACTTGATTAATCAATAATAATTCAATCAGTTCGACAGGAAATTACCCATGTATCTACTAGCACATTAAAACTACACTCATCAAATCACCAAGAACATCAAAATAAATGTTTTGAAAATATATCTTTACATTGTATATTTCAGTATTGAATACTGTGTCATTCATAATTTGTTAAAGCTTTTATTTCTTCCCTCCAAAGGAACTTGGCGTATCGATCATCACTCCTTCGCGGCATTATTCTGGAAATAACTAAATACAATTCCCTGATTTTCCAGCAATGTCGTGTCACAAACCAGATGAAAAAAGCTCTCAAATTACGATCAGCTACAGAAGAGCTTGATACAACTATTACACCATTTGCCTACATTCCTTGGGAAACACATATGTGCAATGGTGGGTATAAATAACATTTACACCTGGGCAAGTGAATTTTAGTGTTGGGCAAGTGAATTTTAGTGTTGGGCAAGTGAATTTTAGTGTTGGGCAAGTGAATTTTAGTGTTGGGCAAGTGAATTTTAGTGGTGGGCAAGTGAATTTTGGTGTTGGGCAAGTGAATTTTAGTGTTGGGCAAGTGAATTTTAGTGGTGGGCAAGTGAATTTTAGTGTTGGGCAAGTGAATTTTAGTGTTGGGCAAGTGAATTTTAGTGTTGGGCAAGTGAATTTTAGTGTTGGGCAAGTGAATTTTAGTGGTGGGCAAGTGAATTTTGGTGTTGGGCAAGTGAATTTTAGTGGTGGGCAAGTTACAAAATACTTTGCTGCACTTTCAAAAGAATTGACATCAGCAGAGAGCAAAAACCTTGCCATGGCTTTTATGCAGACTTAACAATCTGACTACATAGTTATCATTACAGTAGTGTCACATGTATTAACAAGCATAATTTTTGAAGACTGAATAAAAACATGCAATTATATTTATAAGTATGATTGATATAGTTGGCCAATTATATATATATATAGCGCATTGACGTCACGATCTCCGGTGAGGACAAAAAGTATGGCGGCAGCCCGATTCCTGTTGGATCTGATGAAATGACCTCTTAAAATTCGATTTTTCAAAAAATGATGAACATGATTTGAGGTTTTTTAAATGATTTCAAATGACTGATATCATATTTTTCCAAATCGCAATCATTATTTTAAACACTTTTATTCTCCTTTAAAGGTACTATGTCCCATTTGCAGGCCAAACAAATGAAAAGGTTAAATTCCAACAGCATTTGAAAGATAATACTAATTTAGAACTTCCCTAAACAAAAGGGGGCTCGAAAATGTCTTTAAGTGGGAAAATAACGACTATTAGTTGTTGAATCGTAATAGTAATAGTCTGATCTTCAGACCATTGTACTGAATCGTCGTACGTTTTATGCTGCGCAAAGATTCAATCAGTTTAATTTTAGCCATTACAAGAAGTGGGTTGTTGTTGTAGACAAATGCTCATGTACCATTTACAGCTCATTTTATGTATGTTTTTACCAAAGAAGAGAAAAGGCCAGTCAGTCACTCAATAGTGTCTGACAGTGAAGTCTAGCAAGTATAGGGTTTCCTTGCATAATTTGAATACTATGACACTGCTAATGTTTAAATTTCACAGAAAGGACATACATGACATACTCATAATTTTTGCAAAGTTCTACAGAATTTGATGTTGGCTGCAAAAGGGATATAGCATCTTTAACAGGAAGAATCATTACTATCATAATCTAGATGTACCTCTTGCATTATCAGTCACAAATTAGAGATCAATCAATAAAGGTTATACATGTACTAGCAAACAGAAAATAATAACACATTCTTCAATTTGAAATGAAAATACAAATTTTCCCCTGCACTCTCAATCTTGATAGTAAAACTGTGAACATAAAGGAAAGAGGTAGAATCCATGAACATATACACCCTAAATAATTAATTAATTTCAAATCCTTTTTGCATTGTATACATACAAAAATAAGGCAATTTAAAGAAATTTCAGACAAATTTCACCTAAATCTTTGGTCAATTTTCAACGGACAAGAGGAACGTAATCATGGTCCTACATGTCGCGGTAAACCACAAATGGCTAAACATTAAATGGAATGAGCGTTACAAACTTCATATTTCTGTATCTCGTATACAAACTGGCAAGTGAGTATATGCGTAGGACCATTGTTGCACGTAGATACGTTTAGCTCATCCCATTCGCCATTCATTTATACAAAGAACAGGGGAGTGTTTCCCAAAGACTTGGATTGATTTTAAGTTGGACTTATCTATATGGCAGGCCATTCATGCCACTGGTTGATATCACCATCATAATCTTTAGATATTTTGTCCTTCAACAAATGTAAATTTTGTAGATTTGTGACCATGATTTGTACGTCCCTTGAGAGCATGGGCGTAGATCTGTAATTGATACCTATTGTTCAGGGGGGATGATCTATTCATTCATCCCCCCCCCTGAACAATAGGTATTACGTAAGGATTGACGCCCATGCTTGAGAGGCCAATACCAGTAAATGGTGAGAACAAACAGTGGCATAAATGACCTGCCATAGTTAAGTCCAACTTAAAGTTGATCTTAGTCTTTGTGAAACACTCCCCTGAAATACTGTTGTGATTTACCATGCCATATGTAAACGGCCCTTTAGAGCTTGCTTATGTCCCTGAACTTCTTATAATCGATGCCATTCTGTGGAGTGCATCTCATTACTTCTCCGTGCTTGCTGTCATCCTCCACCAGCTGGATGAAACCCTCCGCTACCATGGAAACGCTGAAGATAAAACAGTAAAGATTTTTTTTAATGGAAATTCAGAAAGAGATGTAACAAGATTCATTACACAATCAACAGGTATTAAGAAATCAATTTAAAAAAAAAAAATTCATTCAACAAGTAAGGATAAAGGCTTTAAATGCCACAATATAACCCTCTTAGAGAAATATTTATAAAAAAGAAATCACTGTCAAAACATTACGATTAAATTGATATTTTTATTCTTAGAAATGCAATAACTTAATAAAAAGGAAATTGAAATACATGTATTTTATATAACTTTTTTTTTTTAATGAATATGATACACAACATATCAAATTAGTTGTATCTATAAATGATTGCTTATGAAAATGCAATACAATTTGTTTTTAGACGAGAATAATACTTGTAATAACAGTTCAGTGTCATAAAAATTAAGCGGGTCTGTCTAACCCTCACAGTACTAAGAATATGTGCCCTTTTTTCATTCACAAAGAGAGTTTTAAGTGGACAAGTCTTTTAAATTTTTTATTAGAATATTAGAATACTCACGGAACAGTTTGTAGTTCTGCACCATAGATGGCCTCTGCTACAGGGTTATGGTTTATTAAACCTTTCATTTGTTGCAGGATCGCAGTCTCACTGAAGCTGGGGCAAAGGCAGTTTAAACGAACATTCTCGGGGTTGAAAACTTTGTCTGCTATCTACAATATGCAAAAAATTAATAATAAATTTGTTTTTATCAAAAAAAGGAAAATGCATTCATGTTTTTTTTTAAAGAAAAATGTTAATAATAACAATACCGAATGGCTCTTATTTCATGGGACTAAAATGTAAACAACATATTTTTGAAATTATTGAATATTTCGCTCAGTCATGCCACCTTGTGAAATATTCTCAGCTATCTCATTCATATCCCTGGCCATTCAGGGTCGTTTGATATTCAACAAATACAGAGTCTAACAGAATTTCTTGCCAAGTGGTAGCTTTTCCATTAGACAACCACATCATGACATGGTGTAATAATTATCATAAGCTTTCATTTGCGAGTAGGCCTACACAAAACCATGGAATCCTGACGAGAATATCTCAGAAAAAATCATCTAGGGTAAAGGGCAACTTCTTCAAATGTGCAAACATCGCGGGGCTATTTTCATTCTCACTGAATGCCCTCCAGCGGTTGCTTGTTTAAACACTGTGATACTTGTTAAATAAAGAAATGACCTTTGATTTTGCAGTAATGCTAGAAACCTGGACCCTAACAATAGATATCCAACTATTTTGAACTCTACACTACAAAGTAAAGTAATACTATTCATATATAGTATTGATCATGCCCGGACATTTCTCCACACTAAATTCTGTGTGAGCCTGTGAACTAGGGTCATTTTTCATACAGGGTGCACAAAGCAAAGGGGTTCTGATCATTATCTGTCTTTGGTAAATGTATGTACCATGAATGTCTGAGATTGATTTCTTTGGCCTGCATTATTAATTTTTACTCCTTTTGGAAATAGATATTGACGCAATAACTACAGGGTGTAAAAAAAGAAAAAAAAGAAATGGAAGCATTATGCTGTCAAATCTACTGACAATATTATAAACACATGCTATCATAATCTGTATACATTATATAGAGTGTACTTAAATAATTCAATATCGTCTGTTCAGGGCCAGAAGAGCATCAGCTCTGTATTAAAGTATGTGAGGTACGCCCTTCTGGCTCCAAACAGACATTATGATCTAGAGCAGGCCTTCTCAACTGGCGGCGCGCGCCACTCGTGGCGCTTGCGGTCAGTCAGAGTGGCGCGCGGCTGTTCCAAAAAAATAATAAAACATAAATAAAAATTAAAAAATAAAATTTAAGAAAGAAAAAAAATCATAAAATTATATTTTAAAATAAAAAACTCAGCAAAATCAAAAAGTCGCAGTCGAAGTTGAGCCCAAAATGTAAGCAAGCCATTTTGTTTGTTTGATTTGCACTTCATTTTGACATTTTCCGTGTTTATTGCACCAAAATAATACATGTAAATTAACTTCCAGTGTAGATTTTAGCCAGGAATTGTACTAATTATTTCACATCAATATGAAATTATGATTGATGTTTTATGGAACAAAAAGGTGTTAAAAATGCCACATCTGGGCCTTAAAAAAGCCCTAAAATCCACTAGCTTCCGGGACCCCACCCAGTATCGGCCCGGTCGCTACGCTCCCTCGCAACACAGTCACCAAACATAGAGGTTGGCACTTCAACCTCAATAAATTTTTATTTTGGCGCTTCTAATAAGCTAGTTGAGAAGGCCTGATCTAGAGGTATATGCTTCTTTATTTTTAAAGGTTGTGCTTACCGCTAGGGCCCTTGAAAAGCCAAGTACACCATGCTTAGCAGCAGAATATGCAGGGGCCAGGGGCATAGGATACAAACCTGCAAAATACAATGCAGTGACAAAACATACATAAATATATTTCTTTTATTAAAAGAGAGAGAATAACAACACCAAAACATTTCACTATCTATATTAAAGGTACATTACCTGCACAAGGATATCGGGGTCTAGTTTTTCTTGTTTTTATTGATGAATTTGCCAGGAGAGATTGTTTGACATAATCTTGTTCATATCTGTCCCTTTTCTGAGATAATCTCCTATATACAATTACTGACTCGTGTCTTGATTGATAATTCTGTTTGGCCATTTTTGACTGCTTTTCATTATTTCATTTTGGACACGCCTCCCAGAGTACCAGGGGTGATAGTGATAGTTTGTTTTTTTTCCTCAACCTCTAACAAATTCCCCCCTTTTGAGTAAGAAAATTGGGAAAAATAGGAAAAAAATAGGAAAAAATAGGAAAAAATAGGGACAATAAGCAAAAAATCAGGAAAATAGGGGTAAAATCGGGGGGGGGGGGGGGGGGGGGGGGGGGGGGGGGGGGGGGGGGGAAGGAAAAATAGGGGAAAAAAAATCACAATTTTTTTTTTTTTAATCGGGTAATTATCAGGTCTGGAGTACAAGTATTTTAAACCCACAGAATGATTTCTCTTTTTTTCTTTTCTATTAATTATTTATCATTCATTTATTTAAACACGGTAGCCCCGTCAGTTATCACAGTACTGTTTTTCAGGGGGTCCTGATGTTCCGTTCTTGATTGTGTATACATTTTCTTTTCCTAAGATTAATACGCATTTCTTCCCCAGGCCTTAGCTGCTGTTTCTGTCTGTTACATGTATGTCCCCAAACTCTGAACATTATCAGAGTACTGTTATTTTCATAATCTCTTTTCCTGAAATTACAGACATAATACCTACTGACTACTGAATACACTACTGATCCATGTGGCTCATGCAGGCAATACATTATAAATGAAGAAATAAATAAGGAAGCACCAAACTATATAAATATTATAAATGCTTACCAGCCATAGATGCTATGTTGATGACGATACCTCCCCGTCCTCCTTTATTCTTGTCCATGTACTGCTTGGCAAGAAAGGTGCCTCGCATTACAGCTACCTGTACAACAATGACAATAATGATTATGATAATAGACCAGTACATGATGTCCCAAATGACCCTGAATATCCACAGATCTTAAAAACATGAAGAGGTCCCACTTGGTACATTTTGAAATAATCACTCCTACAGCAATGGAGGTGTTACATAAATTGCCTTCGTTTCCCCTTTTCAAAGAATACTTCCACCTGTGTATCATGGAGTGCACTGCTTGTGCATAAATGAATAATGATTACACAACTTTCATGAGCACGTATCCAGTATTTTGTCTCTGTTCATGCTCAGACTGCAACTATGAACTGGCTTATTATAATAGTTATAATAATGATAATATTCACAATAATGATAATGAAAATGATAACAACAATAACAACAACAGTAACAGTATATGCATATATATAACATATGTATTTTGATGCACTTTATAAGTAATTTTTCTTTCTTTAACTTTAAAAAAGTACAAAACTTGCAATATAAAGGGAGGTGATATGGCACAGTGCTACATGAATGAATGACATAATTAAATAATTATCTGGTACAAATGTCAAATCATATTAATGCATAACTAATATTAAAATTAAATTTGAAAACAAACAGAAAAAATTGTAAATTACTCTCGAGAACAGAATATCTAAAACTTCAATTTAATGTTCGAAAGTGGAGCTTACCAAGTCTACATCAACTGTTTTCTCCCAGTTAAGCTCATCTCCTATACCTGCATTGTTACACACAATATCTATACCCTTATAGTGCTCGAGGGTCTTAGAGAAAGCATCTGTATATTTAAAAAAAATAAAAGGAGAAAATATTGCTTAAGTTTTGTAAAATTATTACAAACTTAAATTCAACCTACCCCCTAGCCCATAAGAGAATGATCTCCCATTTTTATTAATAATAATTGCTGTAATATTGTGTTTTAAGTCATTGAATATACATGTACTTTGTTCATGCTTTCCTAGATATAAACATTATCAAAGATTAATTAATTCTCATGGTATGGACAATTATCTTGATGCATGTGCCACAGAAATTACTATTTTGACTTTACATTATATATATATATATATGATTGAAGTATTATTTTATTTTCTATCACAGTGTACTCCATAATTACAAAAAAATTCCAACACTATCATTATAGCTCAACTGTAAAATATGGTGGTCCAAATTAAGATAGTCTTTGGCATAAAAGACAACTGCTGAGAAGCATAGCAAGTTACTAATTCACAATAGACTATGTAGCAACAAAGTGTCAGACCATTTAAAGGAACAAAGAATATGTTGATACCCAGGAGGGCTTTAACTCTGTATAAAATTATAAAAGTGATGGATATTGAATCTATTTAACATTTATTTTGGGAATGCCCCTTAACTCATTCAGATTCTTAGAAGATTTTGAAAAATATACCATCAAAAATAAATCTAAGTAAACATGTACTATTGTACTGACTTCATCGTTGGCATCCCAGGTGGATATTATTCCTCTTTTAATTTGGTTATTTTGTATGCAGAATATTTTATTTAATCAAATAGATGTTTGAAGGGATTTTTATCATTTCCATGTTTTCAAAAGAAATTGAAATATCATTATGAAGTTAAACAAACAATCTATGCGCAACAAGATAGGTTTATTTTATTTCTTGATGCTATGGAGGCACGTCCAACTTATCTAAATACTATAATCTTGTTTTTCCATTGTACCTTTCTTTGTCAAATGTATGTATCCATCATTTTGTAATTAGCTTATATTGTTTTATGCTTTGAGAAAACTTGAATAAAGACTTAACATGAAGAAAAAATGAACAAAATATGAGTGAATGCCCATCTGGCTCTCAACAGACAATAGAATACATTATTTTCTTCTGATAGCAAGCAAGAATTTTACCTTCTAGTTGGTCCTTTGAAGATACATCACATTGAAAGAAGCGGACTTTATCCTCCCCATATTTCTTGTTTAGCTCAGTTTCTGTTGCTTTTCCCTTTGCAGCATTGAAATCAACAATACCGATTCCCTGTTTGAATCAACCAAAGAATCAATTAGTCAATTAAAAATATGTCTATTCCAAATTCTATCCTGGAATGTTTATGTCTATATCAAAACTGCACATGACTTTATCGGTGTGAACTATTTAGAAATTAATGTTATAAAAAACAATATAAAAACAGACAAATAAATCATTCAATCATTATAAACATCCTGTAAAATTGTCTGTATAATTGTGTTCATCTTGTTTTGACTGGATTGAAAGGTTTTTTTTTTATTGCTTCTTGATCTATTTGTTTCCATGAGTATTGATTGATCAATTTAGTACCATCACCATCATCATCATCATCATCATCATTACCATTATCTAATACGAGATAAAGTATACCAGTATATCAAAAGAACCATTTACAAGGAATAATACAACAAGTAAAATAACATGAAATCAAGGAAAAGGACAAAGATGCCAATGAAGAGGTGTGAATATGAGAGAGAGGGAGAGAGAGAGAGAGAGAGAGAGAGAGGGGAAAAGGAGAGAGACAGACAGACAGAGGTGGGGAAGGGAGGGTTAAGAAGTCTGCAACCAGTTAATTGTTATAAGCAATGTAAAATATATCCTACATGGTAGGCAATGCCAATGCCAAAACCTTGACTGGACTCTTTTTTCTTTCCCCCTAATATAAAAGTTCAATTCATAGGAAGGTGTTTCCCTGCTTGCATAGTAGTATGCATAATTATCTCTTGAGAGAGTACAAAGTTCTGCTTTTCAACCCAGCATGTATTAGTCAAGTTCTATAATCTTTTAAACAAATATCATATATTCTGATTCCCAGCATATGAAGAATTGTGTATCCCTATACCTAACTCTAAGGTTATAGATCACTGGATCCACCAAACCAGGCCTGTTTCTGAGGTTATACAGACCCTACATATAGGACCTATACATTTTCAGTTCACAAAAAGTATACAAAAAAACCTATCTATAAAGGCCATATGCACCAAAGGGACAGAAAATGTGACCACTGTAACTGAAACAAGTAGCCTTTCTAGTTTCTAAACAGGTTCTACAACATTTTTTTTTCTCACAGGAGACAAAAATACATGGCCATTTTATCCAGGTGGTCTTTGAAGAGAGGTGCATGGCCATTAAGACAGATTTGACATACCTACTGAAACTATTAATGGAGTCTATTGGACTTGGAGCTATAAAAAAATATATATTAACTCACCCTAGCACTCCTCTTGAGTAGTTCCTCTGAAAAGGCCTTGCCGAAACCCTCAGCAGCACCAGTAATAAGAGCAACAGCGCCTTGGATCTTCATCTTGATTTTAAACTATGAAAAACAAGACAATAAGGAATTCATTCAGGTTAAAACTTTATGCATGCAATGCCTTCCATAGTGTAGAGGGGGCCAGACTTAGTCTCAGCGGAACAACCATCAATATCAGAGACTGAAGCTTTCGGTCTAGACTATATACTAATTAATACATTGCCTCCCGTACACTCCGGGAAAGGAGGGACCGCTTTCATGTTCCCAAAATGTCCGGTAAAGGGGTACTTTTCACGCAGCAAAGTCCGGCTTATATAACACACACAAAAATCGGCCCGTATTGACTTTACACACCGGACTTAGGGAGTTGCTTTTAAAAGGAGGGAACATGCATACGCGTACCCTAAATAACACTGAGTGGGGGGCCGGGGATTAATACATGTACATTGCAATGTTAAGATTTGAAAAGGTTTGTTTGCACACAAACAGTATAATTTGGATTTTTATCATCATTTGGTATAATTAAGATTATGTATTTTTGTTTCCAAATTCCCAGGACGTGTGCTACATTAGAAATGTATGTGTATCTACAATACATCTATATAGAGTCTATTTATGCAATTATGCATGCATGATCCCCCATCAGCATCACACCATCAAAATAAAAGATCAATGCATGCATTAAATTTTCCATTATTGTATTATTCGAAGACACCATACAAAAAACTACAGAAAAACAAACAATCTTGTGCAAGTTTTTGAGAAAGAATAATTGAGGTTGTTTTAACGTTTGAGGCTGAAAAACACGGCATCTAATTACAACTGAAATCAGTAGAAATCAGGTAAGAGATCTATACTATTTAAATAAACTAAGAAACATTATAAAAATACAAGATTTGGCTCTACTTACTACCTCTTCCTAGTCGCAACTGATACTCGACCGGTCAACTCAACTACTCTTGCACGTGTAAGAGTACTATAGGTATGACTGCCGATTTCGGTCCCAGCCCGGCGGGGGCGGAGCTCCATGGAGTTGGCAAAGAGATTCGATCATACATAGTATGTCCTCCGTAGGAGGACTAGACTAAAATAGAGGGCCAAAATAGAGGACTAAAATAGAGGGCCAACTAGACTAGACTAGAGGGCCAACTAAAATCATGACCTTTGACATTTCATAGGTTTTGCATTGGATGCATTAGGCCTAGACCTCTATGGGGGTTTTGTCCGATTTGAACGACGGTTTTGGAGGGTCTATGAATATTCATGAGCAATGACGTAAAAAATACGCCAACTACTGTTTGTTGATTGGCCATCGACAAAATGTTTTATGTATTAGGTCATGCATAAAACATTTTTTTCATTCCCAGAATTCCCTACGATTTGAGCACGAAAATGGCGGTTGTATGAACTGCAACTTTCAAGTTATTCAATTACGAACAATGAAACATTTTTTTTTAAAGTGAATTTCTATTATAATAGAAGTTTGTCAAGTACATCTCAGTGAAGCAGAAAATCTTCAGGCGAACATTGACATCGAAGTGATACCCTATGATATCAAGAAAAGTAAGTAAAGATCCATTTTGTGTCAAGGTCTCTGAAATGATTGTGATGTGTTCGTCATTGCAGTGAGCGGCTCTCCGCATTGTCACAACGTATTACCCGGTTAACCCCCTACCCCATCCTCTTTTCTTTCTTCTGACCAAAGAATATTAACTAATTGAATGAACTCTAATTTAAGTCATCGACGGTAATATTTTTAGAAACAATCAGGATTTTACCGTAGGTTATTTCATTAGAGCACATCTCATAATTTTAAGTTCAGTTCATAGCGTGATTACCGATAGTAATCGGTCGTAGATGTGGACCTGTTGGAGACTGCGCAAATGGCTCAGTGCTAGTCCAAGCCGATGAGATCTCGTCGAGCGGTTTATGATCTTCAATCCACCGGTTCTAGCCGGCTGTAACACTCCACCAAGAAGCGACTGCGTTTCCTGAGCTGGCGCGGCTATAACTTACAGTGTGTTACTGTAAAGCCTAGGGCTAGGCTAGTATTCATAGCATAGTCTGGCCTGAATTTTCTGTCTCTTTTGTTCGTTAGCCTCTGATTTGGGTAGGGTCGGCTCCTCTCTTTAGCCAACCCTACCCAAATCAGAGGCTAACGAACGAAAGAGACAGAAAATTCAGGCCAGACTATGCTATGAATACTAGCCTAGCCCTAGGCTTTACAGTAGGCTAACACACTGTAAGTTACATTCGGGCTAAGCAGAGCCCAAGCAGAGCCTAGGGCTAGGCCTAGATCTAGATCTAGTCTAGATCTAGATCTATCAAACAGAAATAAAAATATAAACAGCATTTAACCCCGCATCTAGTATAGGCCTAGATCTAGGGCTAGATTCTAGGCCTAATGCATTCTAATAAAGAAGGACTAAATAAATGCCTGGTGTAGGTGGATCAAATACATGATGTTGAAGTTATGGAGAGGGGGGGGGGGTGTGCACAATCATTCTGTGCCCCCTTTTTCAGATGTGGCATAGGGACGGGCCTAGATCTAGGTCTAGAGCCACCTACTAATAATATTAAAAATAGGCAATTAGATCTAGATCTATAGCTTGTGTTATGCCATAGCAAAGAATTCCATAGCCATGGGTCTAGTCTTGTTTTTGCTCCACTACTATGTCTAGACTAGACTACTCGTGCATATGTGTCATTATTGTGATCCAGCTCCAGATTCAGCTTAGTTTGAATGTAGATCTACTACTAGGATAGATCTACCATCAACAACAAAAACAAAACAAAAAAGGTGTCTCCTCCCCCCCCCCCCCCCCCCAACTTTCCCTGATCTTGCTCTTAGTTATGTCATTGTGCCTTGTTTGAAATAATTAGTTTATTTTCAGGATTTTATGCCACCCCTTTTAGTTTTATGTTGGTGAGAATTCTGGATCCAACCCTACATATGATATGGATATTTCTTTCTCTATTAAAGGACATGAACAAAGTTATAAATTGAAAACTAATGCATGCATTTGATATTAACAGGAACCTTACTAAGTTTATGTTTTCTTTAAACTGTAGATCCTATGGAACAAAGAAGCAGATAAGGATCACACAAGTGCAACAAAGCGCACCAGGACCTGATCATCAAATGTTATGGTGTAGATCTAATCTGGAACAGGACACCTAAGTTGAACTCTGGCAAGGTATGTTTGTATGAAGTTCGAAAATATTCAGGCCATGCGAACACCGCACTCGACTTGGACTATATACAAAGATTTGGGGAACTGCATTATATCTAGTAATTCTCATTTATTCTCTAGCTTTTTATTTAGGTGACAAACTATGGTGTTGCTACAGTTTATTCTCTCAGCATATTAAAAGACGTACCCAAAGGCATTTTTTCCTAAATATTACATTATATCTAACAAACTTTTGTTCACAGCAGTCTAGCAAATAATAACTAAAAATAAATTGGAAATTACTTTTAAAATAATTGGAAATACATCTAAACCTTTGCTCTTCTTTAAAAAAAGGCCCTATCAGATAGACATAAGTTTATCATTTTTTAATAAATTAAAATGCAAGACCTAAAAAAAGTGGGGAGGTACTAGATCTATTTTTGAAAATCCAATATAATGCAGCAGTTTTAATCTTATTTGATTTCTCCTCTCTTTTTGTTTTTATTATGCAGGTTGTCCCTTGCAGAAGGTTTGATACCCAGGCTTCTTTTGTACAAGTCCCTTGTCCACCCTCATCTTGAGAACTGTTCCGGTGTCTGGGATCCCTACTAGGGCTGTGCACAACAGTGTAATGAGGTACCCGAGTACACTCCCAGGCTCACAGGCGAATACTCGAGTATTCGGACGCCATGTTTTTTTATAATTTTTTTGAATTTTTTTGAATTTTTTTGAATTTTTTTTGATTTTTTTTGAATTTTTGGATTTTTGGATTTTTTTCCTTTTTTTTCTTTTTTTGCCACTACCATACCACTCGGCAGTTTCTCAGGTCCCTCGCGCAGCTCGCTGAAAACGCATGCAACTTTACTTTGAGTTGCAGTTGAAGGCGCCGATTTAATAAGAATAATAACAGTAAACAATGCTGTTTTAAAAACCAAAGATGGCAGAATAATCCATTTTCCTCCAAGTCCAAACAGAAATCTGGACATTTGGTCCCAGTTTCTGAAAGGTGAGTTTGACAGTGCTTGAGTTTGGAAACATTTTTACCGACGGTACCATGCCAGCGGATGCTGCTCTCCCTGGCACGGGTAAGCGTGGGCCTGGACATTTTTTTTTTTTGCGGCCGAATATTCGGGTACAAGAAATCGTACCCGAGTAGCTGTCAACCGTGCGGGTACTCGAGCATTCGACTACCCGTCGCAGCCTTAATCCCTACAACATCTCAGATGTCCAGGACGGTACTTCACAATGGGGACCACAAGTGAACCAGCAGTTTGACTGAGATGATCAGCACCTTTTAGTTGCCTACTATATCTACAACTACAAGGCACTCTGCAAGAAGACTGGGAATGATGCACAAGATAGTCAATGGTCTCCCCGCTCTCCCTTGAAAATTTTCCCACTGCACTACTTATAGCTACTTGCGCCCTCTATAAAGCAAACAATGCCTAATCGGTGCCTGTTGGTCCCCCATGATCCTCTTTTTCTTATATTAATTGAGAGCTGATTTGATGAGATATCCACCTGTAAGTGACCTTGCAGGATGGTCTAATCCCCCTGACCAAACTAGTACAGACGGGCTTTAACAAATCACGAGCAGGAAGTACCATGACATGACCCTCCAGTTGCACCAAGCCAGAAGCGACGTAGACAAGTTTGTATTTGCCCAACACTCTGTCCCAAAGTTAATGGAACTTACTTCCAGCAAATATAGTGCATGCTGACAGTCCAGAGAACTGCCAGGGACTACTTCTGAGGCATCTACTCTCCTTATCCCACTTAGAAACAATCTATCTTCCTCACACCACTTGGAATCTTTAGTATTAATTCATCTTCGTGATAGGCTACAACGCCTTTTGAAGATTACCAGAAGAAGAAGAAGAAGATATATCGAGGATCACGAAAGTAATCATTTGTTCTTTTAAATCGTGTACATGTAACATAGTTTTTTTATATTTAATCTTAAGTCAAGTTCTGACAAATATATTAGGGATGCTGAACTGGATAGTAAATTGAAGGGGGGGGGGAATAAAATGATGTAGTTCAATAGTAATACTGTAGTAATATAATTAATAACATTAATAATAATAACAATATTACAAAAAGTAACAATAATGACAATGGTCATGATAATAGCAGTAATAATAATGATAATACAGGTAGTAGTTAAACAACAATAATGTCCAATGTAAGATAAAGTACTCATAAAACTCAGTATATACCTGTGCTTTACATAATAAAGTAGCATGTTGATATTATTGATTTTTTTTTTTCTCAAAATCTACAGTAAACTTTTACAACTGAAAAATTTGAATTCAAGAGACAGCACCCCCCCCCCCCCCCTCCCCCATCCTTTTGTCACCCTTTTGTTGATGTCATGTTGGATTTAAAAAGATCTTTATAGAAACAAAATATGTTGATACATGAGTTCATAAATATTAATAAATTAGTTAATACTGCTTAATTCTGTTCTTTTCATTTTCTTATTTTATGAAATATATGTGATGATGCTGGTGATTATGATGATGTAGGCACTCTGTAATGATAATGCTCTATGACTGAGGTGAGATGGGGGCTGATGCAGTCTTGTGTAGAATTGAGTATGGTGTTCGACCTTTTGATATGTTTTTTTATATCTGGCATCAGCGAGATAGATTTAACCATCTTTCCTAATGAGAGAGAAAGCGGAAATGTAACAAGAGAGTGGGCAAGACTAATGTATAAATATAGTATAAAAAATGGTTTACAATAAAGATGAGGGGGGGGGGGGTTAAATAAAGAATAAGTCAATGCCAAAATGATGAAAGCATAGGTAATTGGGGTGTGGATGGGGGAGGGAGGGTAATAGAGCCTATGGAAATGTCAATATTGGAAGGGGTCCCTGTATTGAAAATGTTACTGATGGGGGGGGGGGGGGGGGGCAAATTTTAAAAAAATCAGTGGCGACGAATGCAAGAATGAAAAGAACGAGACAAAATAGAAATTTCATTGGGGATGGGGCACAATATGAAGATCATTGAAGTCGAGGTGAGAATGATTCATTATTTGGACACTAAAAATATGAATATATGACTTGTTGAGTGGGCTAAATGATCAGTGCAATTTTTCTGATTAAAAAAATATTTAAGTTAATAAACGAAAAAAAGCAAAAAGAGGTAAAAAATGAATTGAGGTACCACAGTGAAATGGGGTCATTATTTTTGCCATTTAACTGAACTGAATTTAAAAAAAATGTACTTTTCATCCTGGTGACAGTGAAGTTTGTGGCCCCAACTAAGTCAACCATTTGAAAGTTTATTACCCCCTCCCCCCCCCCAACACACACACCTCCCCAACTCTGACCTTTGTTCTACATTTATCGGCCCAATTAAGGATTCTGTCGATATAGTAACGCATGCGCATTGTCTTATTTTATTGCGATAATATGCTAATAAGTGGAAAAGAGCTCATGAATATTCCAAATTTTGATTTAAATATTTTGCGCGCTGCGCGCAGTCCAAAATCCCCATTTCGCTGGTGCACTAAAAAATTTTCGTCTTCGTAGGCTAATACACGATAAGTGGAAGCAGTGTGCACTTTTGACCCTCCAAAATTTCCCCATGGCTAGACGGATGCAGAAGCGGAGTTGAACCCCCCTGGGAGTTGGTGACTCGACTGGGGTGGGGTGGTAATATGTGTGTACTATGTGAACGTGTATGAGTATGAGGAGTTGGGCTATTAAACTCGGACCAAAGACAACTCGGCTCAGCGGTCAGTTTTTGCAGGTTTAGGGATAGGGTTAGGTTTGGATTAAGGTTAGGGTTAGGGTAAAATGACAAAAACTGGCCGTTTTCTGCAGCTTCGCCGAGTTGTCTGTGACTTTAATTTGGTCCGACTCCAAGTTAGCCTAGATCTAGACCGAATTTTCTGTCTCTTTCGTTCGTTAAGCCTCTTGTTTGGGTAGGGTCGGCTCTTTCTTTAGAGACGGAAGCCGACTATATGCATTCCCTTGCTAACCCCAAGGCCATTTATGGTCATATTTTTTTGCCCCGAAAATCCCCCAAAATGTCATTTTACCTCGTGCATATCCAATTGTAAATTAGGCCTAGGCTATTAATACATCGGTTCCACTTACCAACTTGACTAAAATAATCCGTTTAATGGTCCCTTTTTAGGAAATTATGGGTCAAAATCGATATCCATGTTGAAAACCTTGCAAGCGGTGTTTTAGCTCTCGCAGCGCATGACGTCATCTAAATCTCATCCTTTCTAGTCTACGCCGAAGGCAAAATGATTATGAAGAAAAACTGTGCACGAGCTACACGTTCGTAATGGCGTTATCACAGTTTTTCCTACCCAATCACAGTTTTCCCTACCCAAATAAGAGGCTTAACGAACGAAAGAGATGGAAAATTCAGTCTAAAGTTAGCCCAGCCAGCCCGGATTTGTGTATGAAGTGGTACTGGTAGACTAGATTGTGTGTACATGTGCATGAATAAGCTCAGTTTTTTACCAGTACTTCTTTTTCAGTGCTTGTATTGCGTGGTACTGGAGAGAATCCACTGGGAAGGGGAATTTGGCCTTCTCATCAAATAGGCCATGGAATCGATTGATTGATTGAGTGTGCGAATAGCCATGCATAGCCGCATATATACACATGAACTTGTGTCTCGTTAATGTTGTAAGTTGTGACTTGTAGCCTACAATCTAAAAGTAAAAAAAATTGAATCTTGAACTTGAAGTTTGAACTGAAGTGAAGACGTGATATGGGGTAGAACTACGAGGTGGAATTTGGATTCCCCATAGCCATTACACACAAAGAACTGCTACATACAAAGTGAATGAGCAGTGCCTTCAGTGGCTTATTTCACAAGAACTCCAAAAATTTGGCTGTATCATGATTTTTGAAGCTACATGTATACTCATTCGTCAGCACGCCCAGGCTTGTGATGGGTGGGGAAAGGAGACTAATTGCAATGCATGTGATGCAATGAAGCACTCTACTTGTAGTAGTACTATCACTATGCGGAGTGAATGGGAGTTTTCCAATTTCTCGATGATGCCAAGAATTCTTGGCCTATACTCCTGAAATAATCAACTGAGTGTGTACCGGTATGTGCAATCATTTTCACTGCAATGTATGTAGAGATTTTTAGTAGCCTATGATACTTGTATGTGTATTTGGGATACAGTCTCAGTCTCTCATTTGGGATACCAATTTCCTGAACAATTTGTTGCAAAAGGATTACCACAGTTAAAAATATAAATATGTTTAAAAATTCCTCATAACAAATCATCTCTTCTGAACAATGATTACAAACTTTTTGGTATTTTATTTCAGATAATTTGAAGATTTTGAGGATACAACTGTAACAATGAGCACCGGAGATGGCCAACTGTCAAGCCAGCTTAGGCGACAATCATCTGAGAATTCTGGGTCCCCTCCCGCCTTTCAGAGAAGGTCACTCATCTGACCTCTATAGCCACAGGTCAAATTATGAAGATACCAGAAGAGGACAGGGTGAGTACATAACTTTGACTTCCTCTTCTCCTCCTTCTCCTTCTTCTTCTCCTTCTCCTTCTCCTCCTCCTCCTCCTCCTCCTCCTTCTCCGTCTTCTTCTTCTTCTTCTTCTTCTTCTTCTTCTTCTTCTTCTTCTTCTTCGTCTTTTTCTCCTTCTATTTCTTCTTTTTTTCCTCCTTCTATTTCTTCTTCTTTTTCTCATTCTATTTCTTCTTCTTTCTTTTCTTCTTTTTCCTCTTTTTCCTCTTCTTCTGCTTTTTCTTTTCTTTTTCTTCTACTTCTTATCCCTCTTGTTCTTTGTCTACTTCTTCTTCTACTTCTTCTAAGAACTTCTCCTACTATTACTACTACTCTATCTACTTCTATTTTTTTCTTCTTCTTCTCCTCCTTCTCCTTCTTTTTCTTCATCTACGTCATCATCCATATATTCTCGGTTTTTATAACATTTGAGACTGATTTTTTAACCTGTCTTTTGAAAAGTTGAATACCGGTAATAATAATTATTTTAAATGAAGTTTTGACAGGTCACTCATTAGAGGAGTGATCCATGGGCTTTTATTTACTTCATTAATGATGATGATGATGAAGGTGATAAGCAAATGAATTGATGTGCTTTTTACTTTCAGCTGGGCCTGTGTAGAAGCGTGTCTGAGTTTGAGAAGCTGAATCGAGTTGGAGAAGGAACTTATGGAATTGTGTGTAAGTTTGTAGTAAATTTTGTATGCATAATGATGGTTTTAACATGAATTTTTTTTATTCCATGCATTGTTGCCTTCCATTGCTCATGACAATACTGTAGCTAATGGTGTTCTACAGTAATTTATTCTACTATTCAAAGTTAACAAACACACCCGACTATTCTTTCATTTGTCACATCAATTCCCCACTTCTTGTAATGGCCAAAATTAAACTGATTGAGTGATATGAAGCGCAGCACAAAACCATTTGGTGCATACTACAAGGGTCTGAAAATCAGTCTATTTAATTAAATGATCATGATCCCTAAATTCAAGACATTTTCAAGCCCTTTTGTTTCAAGGGAAGTTCTAAATTAGTATTATCTTTCAAATGCTGTTGGAATTCAAACTTTTAGTTTTTTGGCCTGCAAATGGGATAAAGTACCTTTAACTACATAATTTTTATAGAATAATGCAAGATCAAAGTGATAAATTATATGACTTCATTATGCCTTTGGAAGTATTTTCGAGTTTGTAAATTTTCATTGTTGGAATCTTTTGCTATTCAGACACTGGCTGCACTGAAATGATGAAAAAAAACTTCAACCAATTAATTTTAAAAAATCAATTCATTACTGTATCAATGTAGAAGCACTCTACATGCAAATACATCCAAAATTTATTCTTGACTTATTATGGTTTTGTTAATCGGACTCATGAATGAATTATAGAAGAATCATGGATTTAATTTATGAATATAGCACAGTACAGTGACAGTGTTTCTGTCATTTCAAAACTCCAATTCCTATTCTTTCTCAAGTTTTCTTGGTTTCTTTGTATTTTCTAGATCGTGCCCGTGACATGAAGAGCAAGGAAATTGTGGCGCTGAAGAAAGTTCGCATGGAGAAGGAAAAAGATGGTAGGTCTAGACATCTATGTCTTTTGTAATATATTTCTGTTACACACTGTGATTTGTATATCGGGAGAACTGGGTTTGGAGTACTTGTTCATGAGCCTTGGAGGAAGTCATTGAATCGTTTTCTTATGGAATAAACACTGAAAGTGAAATGAGAACCATGTAAACTTGTACAACATTAACCACAATGCTGAACAATAAATTATATATGGTAGTTAAAAGAGAACTCTGCATTCCTAAATAGTTTGTAAATGTTGTCATATTAGTGAAAAATTTACCCCCCCCCCCCCCTAAAAAAAAAAAAAAAAAACCAAGCTGCTATAATTCAACACAGTAACTTCCTTTATCTTTCTCGTATGATTCACATTTTGCTCCAGCCAAAGTCCTATTAAGTTTATCCAACAGCATATATTTTGAAATTTTGATTCTGTCATGATATTTGTTATTTATCCTAAGTACAGTAGTATGTTACAAGAAAATCATTTTCATCTCCTCAACTGCTACTTCATGCTGTATCTGATGTTCATTTGACCTTTGACCTTGGCAGGTTTACCCATCAGCGGTCTGAGAGAGATCCACCTCCTGATCAACCTCAGGCATGAGAATGTGGTGGAACTCCATGAGGTGGTAGTTGGTCAGCATCTTGACAGGTGAGATCTCTTAACGGGTCCTGTTATTGTAACCTGGGGGGCGTTTCATAAAGCTGTGTGTTAAGTTACGCATGACTTTACAAATGACTTGAATATGAAAAGCTAAATGGGATTCTCAAATCCTTTTAATTGCATTTAAGCTGCAGATGTAGATTAACCTTATCATTACTAGCAAAACATTTTAATGGAAAGTGTATTTTTGGCTACGATTTAATTGAGATTATGGGAAATTCAGTTACACCTTGTCGAAATGTCAGGAAAAACTTTGGGCATCCCATTTGGCTCTTCATGTTCAAATCATTTGTAAAGTCATTCGTATCTTTACGCACAGCTTTATGAAACAACCCCCTGTTATTGTTACTTGCTATTGATGATGAAAAATGGAAAGGAGGTAAAGAGCATGAGCAACCGGATGAAATGAAAATCATTTGGAGAACTATTATTACTAATAATTGAAATAACACATGTTATCGGTATTAAAGATACAGCGACTGTTACAAGCTACTGAAATTGTTGCATTAGATTGGCTGTGAAGAAATTTGTGATAACATTGTGACATTTTTGTTTATTGATAAAAAGCTTCAAGAAATAGGTTCATGTTTTCTTACAAATCTTACTAATGGTTCTAATTTGTCTGTTCAATCAATTTGAAAGAAAATGTAGAGCAGTACACCAATCTCTTGATTTATGTATGAGAATGTAAGAAAGCTCCATTAGCTTGTAGTATGCTTTGAGAAACGGGTTCATATGTTTTATCTTACTGATGGTTCTAGTTGGTCTGTACAATCAATTTGAAAGATAATATAGAGTATTACACCCATCTCTAGCTTTATGTATGAGAATGTAAAAAAGCTCAATTAGCTTGTTGTCTGCCACAGATATTATTGCAAGATGAGTATTCATGGAGAGTTCTGTAAAATTGTATTAACAAACACAATACTCCCATTTTATTTGAAGTGGTATTCACAGTTATAGTATGTGAATCTTTCCCTCGTTGCTTCATATTTCTTGTTGACTTAGTGTTAGTCATTCGTTGAATTTAATGTAAAATTGTACGTACTGTTGATTTCTATTGCTTTCATTCTAAAGTCTATTCCAGCACCGGGTAATCTCATAAGCTTATCATTCATTAGCCAATTTTCCAACATAAAATTTTCTCAGTATATGACCGATAGCATCATCTGTAACCATAGTTCCATAATGACATTTTTTAATATTTTGTTTTCTTCATTATTCTAATCTCTCGGCACATCTCTAGAAGTGGAAGCAGTGCCACAAGGATGTTGCATACATATATTTTTCCTTGTGTTTCATTCCATAGTATATTTTGAGTAGCAAGTTCCATACCTTCTAATTGAAAAAAAGATTTTATGTGTCTTCCCAGTTTTTTTCTTTTCCTCAAATCAATATACCATAGAATCATTGGAATTTGTTAATGTCTGTTTTCTTCCACAGTATATTCCTGGTGATGCAGTACTGCGAGCAGGACCTCGCTAGCCTGCTTGATAACATGCCCTCCCCATTCACAGAGACCCAGGTCAAATGCCTTGCCCTCCAGATGCTACGAGGTCTGCGCTATCTCCATGACAACTTCGTCATCCACCGAGATCTCAAGGTCTCCAATCTCCTGTTGGCGGACAACGGCTGCCTCAAAATAGGTGAGCTGCTCAAAATGGACACTACTGAGCTGAGATGTGAATTATCTATTTGTTAATGTTTAAGGGAAACTTATTCGGACAATATCTCTCTCTCTCACTCGCTTTCGTGTTATGCGCACCTTGAAAACGATTTAGATGGTACACTACAGATGTTTGATGATCATCATGATATTGTTGCCATTGTCACCTGGAAACTGTCATTGAAAATGAAACGGAAGAAATCTCCCTTTCTGTATAATGTACAATGTTTGAAGGAAACAGCACTCATTTAGACAATGTTTCTCTCTCTCTCTCTCTCTCTCTCTCTCTCTCTCTCTCTCCTCTCTCCTCTATCTCTCTCTCCTCTCTCCTCTATCTCTCTTCTCTTTCTCTCTATGAGCACCTTGAAAATGATTTAGATGGGGGGATACAGATGTTTGAAAATCATCATTATGAATGATATTAACATTGATCACTATCATCATCATCAACTTTAATTTTGTTTCTTTTCTTCTGAAGAGGGTTGTGTTTTATCTAAGATACTGCAGTCAATATTGGGGAGATATATATTGTTTAAACTATAAGATTACCAGGTACACGTATGTTCATTTCACCTCGAAAATGTCATTGAAAATGTAGAAGGAAAAATCTCCCTCTTTGTTTAATGCACAGCGGAACTATACCCAAGAATTCCCTTACAATATAATGTCTTTGATAAACACTCATCACTTTTGGAACAATGTCTTTCTGTGTTGGGAAGTATAACTCTGACTATAAAACACAAATAAGAGCTGTTCTTTGTCCTTACAAATATCTATTTATTAATATTGTAAATTGAATATATTGACAAAATTCATCTCTTCAGCTGACTTTGGTTTGGCAAGGCGTTATGGGCTCCCTGTTCGACCTATGACCCCAAGGGTTGTGACCCTGTGGTACAGGGCACCAGAACTCTTGTTTGGTTCACTGGAGCAAACCACAGCCATTGATATGTGGTAAGTACGGAATTCTTAATAACCACATACACAATGTACATGTAGTACCTCAGAATGTCAGAGTAGTGAGGACATACGGCATGATCTGGATGATTTTAAGTTATGGAAATTGACTTCTAAAAATCTTCTTTTTTTCACGATCTTGGTATCTTGCTATTCATTAAACCTGCAGTTTAAAGTTGGTCTTTTTATTTGCAAAAAAGTTCTTTTGGGGTACCATTTCTTTGGCATTGCATTGCAGTATGTTTTGCTGATATGCTTCACGTTTTGTGCACATTTAAGAAAGATAAACTTGCATCTATAAACTAGAAACCATTAAGAATACTAGATAATCCCAGTCATCTCTCAAAAGGATCAAAATGGCTTTTAAAATATATTCAGATTTGCTTCCAGAGAAAGTTATTTTGTACACTCGGCACCTTCTGAAAGACTGTTGAATTATATTAAAGTCAAGACCTCTTTCTAATACAACTGGTGAATCATATTATCAGTTGCCACTTGTTTTTTTGCTAGGAAGTGAATTTACAGAACAGTGTAAAATTAATCATGGAATTGGCTGTTCCACCCACTTTACGAAATAGCCTTCATCCAACAAGCGATCATTTTTGTTTAGAGTTAATAAAACGGAAGATATGTAATCAGTGGAGATTTTTTTCATGAATGTTCCCAACTTCTCTTTATCATTGATCTTGTGTCACATCGTAGGGCAGCAGGGTGTATTCTGGGTGAGCTACTAGTCAACAAGCCGCTCATGCCGGGAGCATCGGAGCTTCATCAAATCAACCACATCATAGACCTTCTAGGGACACCCAACGACACCATCTGGCCTGTGAGTTCCTCAAACTATTTCCACAAACAAACCATTTTTAATTGAAAAGTAGTTATTTTGTTAATCAGATACCTACTGTTATGGTTCCTACAAATATCAAAAATTGTATTCAATCAGAGCTTTATTAAATCATCTACATCATAGACCTTTGAGGGACCCCCAATGACACCATCTGGCCTGTGAGTTCCTCAAACCATTTCCACAAACAATTCTGTTCTAATTACAAAGTAGTTATTTTGTCAATCAGATATCTACTGTTATGGTTCCTACAAATGTCTAATTGTTATTCAATCAGAGCTTTGTCAAATCATCTACATCATAGACCTTCTATGGAGACTCAATGACACATTACTTTGTTCTTCAGATATTTTAATTTTATGGTAACTACCATGGAAACCTTGATTCTGATTGGCTGTTGAGCCCTGTTACCATGGTAGTTACCATTGATGGCAAAGTTACCATCAATGGTAAGTTTTATGCAACGGGGCCCAGAACTTAACCAGGTCAACCATATCATCTAACTTCTAGGGACCCTCAACGACTCGATCTGGCCTATCAAGCCAATCAGATGTATTTAGATTGTGATAAAACAAATTTCACTTTTAAAGTGCCTTTTCAAGAGATACAAAGTGCATTAACGTAAAGTACATAGCAAAAATTGAGAACAAATAAAATACAAAGGATTAAATAAATGTGTGCGAAACCTTATGAATGTTGGGAGAGATTGGCACTCCTTTAATTCAAGGGGTAGGGAGTTCCAGATCTTATTATTATGATACGTTGATGTCTTTTGTAATGATTATCTTCAATGTACAATTTTGGCCCAATCACTATTTATTTCATTTCCATGAGCAATTTGGTAATAAATGAATTTGAATTTGATTTTTTTAAAAATTTTATCAGGGATTTTCTGAGCTTCCTATGGTCCAGAATTTCACCTTGAAGAAGCAGCCCTACAACAACCTGAAAGCCAAGTTCACCTGGTTGTCTCAGTCCGGTCTACGTCTACTCAACTTTCTCCTCATGTATAATCCAAAGAAAAGGTTGGTATTTGGAATTTGTTTGTTGAAAAAGATGAAAAAAGCTCCTTTGACTTTTTCTTGTTTGTGCATAGCCACTGGATGTTTTATATCATAATGTGATATGCACTTAACTACGGAGAGGTTAGAACAAGGGTACATGACAGAAGCTATGAAGGTGCATAGCTGCCAAACCCTTCTAAATGGACGGCACTAGATGATGATGATGATGATATGCACTTAAAGCACAAATTATTATTATTATAATTATCTAGAACTCATTTTTCTTTTTTTCATTGCAGAGCAACAGCCGAGGAGAGCTTAGAGAGTTCCTATTTTAAAGAACAACCACTACGTAAGTTTTCTTAATTCCATCTTTTAATTCATTTCCATGTTTAAAAGCAATATTTTGCTGTGGCTACCCTGGTTGATAATTACCCGATTTAAAATCGGTTTTCTGATTATTTATTTTTTTTTGATTTTTTTTTTTTCTTCCTGATTTTGTATTTATTGATTTTTTTCCCAGATTTTTTTTTTCTCCCAATTTTACCCCTATTTTCGAAGGGGGGTATTTTTTGTAAGATGCCTTTTTTTTTTATTAGTGCTCACTATCACCCCTGATAAACAGATGAAAAAGATGAGAAGAACAAGCGACATATTCCATATAATACAACTGTATCCAAAGGACTAGGTTAGGCCTAAAAATTAAAAAAATATTGTATTGCCCTTTGCGCCCGACCCAAAAATCTTGAAATTTACAGTTGAAATCTGCATTCAAAACTTAAAAATATTAACCCAAAGAGGGAGTAAAAAAAAAAAAGTTCCAACCGACCGACCCATGTTTTGACACCTAAAGCCTTTGTAAAGGCACTTTCAATCTGATGCTCTGTTTAGTATATGTTTTATTATACATGATACAAAGACTTCTGAGTGTCAGCATTGGGCAAGGAGAGAGAGGGGGAGGGAGGGAGGGAGAGAGAGGGAGGAAGAAGGAGAGAATTAGGGGAAGGAAGGGAGAGATAAAAAGGGGAGGGAGGAGAGAGAGGGGGGGGGGGGGAGGGAGGGGAGAGAACTTTAAATTTGTGTTATATTATTCTGAGATGTACATATCCTTCATAAACCTTTACCAATCTGTACATGAAAGCCACTCAAAGGAAGTGAAAAGAGCCACGGCTCTATATTTAACAGCTGATCTATGAAGCTCTCTTCATCATTGTAGCCAATGGGAAACACTGTTTAATGGATATACCAGTACCAGTTATTTAGAAAAGAGCTATCATTACATAAAAAGGGATTTGTGGATGAGGTATGTTTGCCTGTATGCACTTCAAACATGAATAGTGCCACAGTGTAACGAAATTCTTTCGATACCCATTATAAGAATTAAGATAGTGTGGAAATTCAGATACCATGTGTGTAAGCACTATTTCATTAATTGTATAGTCGTGTTGATATAGTTTAAGGGGGTGGGCATTACATTGACATAGTGAGACTTGTCTCTGAATTATATTTCTGTATACTTTGAAATTTAGATTGTTTTCCAGTACATAAATTCTATTTTTACAGTCATTGCCAATGTTCTCTCACCATCTGTCGATGAGTAATGTTTTTGTATAACTCCCTTGATAATATATGGTTTTCCTTTATGGTTTTTGGATAGCCTGCGACAAAGCCCTGATGCCAACATTCCCTCATCATCGTAACAAGAGAAAATCAAACACAAGGCCAGAGCATAGGTAAGAACTGCTCAATCTTATTCATCTTGATTTCAAAATAAAGAAATCAGATTGAATATACAGTGTATGTAGATGAGATATTATAACTTGTTTATTTTTAAACCAAACGGATAGGTCAAGAGACTTCAGGGATCAAAAGTTAATATTTCCTGAGCATAGGCGAGAACTACTCCATCTCATTCATCTTGATTGCAAAATAAAGAAAGCAGATTAAATACATGTAGGTGAGGTTTCACTATCATTTGAAACATGTTCATTGTTAAACCAAACCGATAGGTAAAAGGGACTTCAGGGATCAAAGGTTTATTAACACCGTCCATTCCTTTCTTCTTTTCTTTTTTATATCAAGACCGGCCATGTACGGCAAGAACGAGTTTGGAGTTGCATTTGGATCAGGAGACTCCAAGAAGAGTAAGAGATGATGATGCAGAACTTTGTGTTTATAGATATGGACAACATGTTAGACTTGTCCTCAAGATGTATGCTCTATGATCCAAGATAGTGATGGAGTGATCTTCCTTAGGATGTGAGGAAAGGAATTTTTGTAGACCCAAACGGTTAAAGGATATGATGACATGGACTTGGGTTAGATGAACACACCAATGTGTAGGCTTTATCTTGAAGATGTACGCTCCCTGATCCAAGATGGTGGTTCTGATGATGTGTGGAAGGGAGAATTTGTAGACCCACACAGATAAAAGATGATCACATGGACTTGGGTTAGATGAACACACCAACGTGTAGGTTTTATCTTGAAGATGTATGCTCTCTGATCCAAGATGGTGTATGAATGGTGATGTCAGTCTGAAGAGGAGGGCCGGAGAGGAACTCCTGATCTTCTTGAAGGGGATTTCCCATAAACCCAACAGAGAAATGAAGATGACGTGGACAACGGTTTAATAGATGAACACGCAACATGTAGGCCCTATCCTTACGATGCACTCACTCTGATCCAAGATGGTGTATGAGTGGTCATGCCTGTCTAAGGACTGATGGAGATCAGTTACCGATTTTACCGAAAGGCGATTTCTTTAAAATCTTATCAAGCCAAAAGAACGATTCCAAACATCACAGAAGATCTGGAAGAAAGCAGGGAACTCAATAGTGTACATCAGGAGGTAGCATATATCCTTATCCTCAAAGGTGTTTGGAGCGATGTAGTGCCCATCCACAAAAGATTAGTTTTGTGCATTTTTATGACCTCTTTTGAACATTTTAAATTTGTGTCATATTCACATGTGAATGTGGGTTGGTCATAGGAAAGGGGAACATGATAATAAATTGTAATAAATTCCAAATTTGATATGTGGGTCAAATAACATTGATTTTTTTGTCCTTTATTGGCATGTGCTGTCCTTAATTTGTCTTTAATTTAAGAATGAATTTCTTATGGGTAAGCGTCGTATTGCATATTCCTGTCAAATTCTGAGAATTGAATCTGCACAAGATTAGAAGTAACCAAAATCTAAGAGATGAACACAAAAATGATGATATGTTCATCATTAGCCAATTCTAGTTGATCTTCATGATTGATGTATAGTCTGATTGTCAGTAGAAATATCAAAACATTTTTGTTTTATTGAAAAGAAAACAATTTTAGTAGCGGGTATCATCTTCATGTCAGTTGGAGATAAGCTGGATGGGATGGAGGAGGAAGAACATCTATCCTGTTCACCTCCCCCCCCCCCCCCCCCCCCCCACACAAAAAAACAACATTATTTTGCCTCATAAAGACTGCAGGCAAACAGCAACAAATTTGAAAACACAATTATTTCCCAGAAAATATTCACCTATGCTTTACGATGAGTAAATATTTCCAAAGAGTAATTCATGGGTCAAATATTTCAATTCTTTTCAGATCTAATACATTAGGTGAAAAATGAGACATTTAAGTTTAGGTTCTTATTAATAATTTATTACATCACTTGATCACAAACATAATAAATGCTTCATTTTCATATGAAATGTCAAAATGAACAGTAATTGGTGTTTTGTTTTTGTTTTCCTTTTCTTTCTGTACAAATTTCACCACACACACCGTACAATAATATTCTTTTACAACACAAAGGAAAAATATCCTTATAGACACGAAGATTTAAATATTTACAGACTATGTATTCACATAAAAATTGTATGGACACTGCCATAGAGGCATAATTTGTACAAACAAAATGTTTGCAAAAACAATATGAACATATTTTTTTAAATTTTACATGTATTAGAAACTGTGTTATGGCTACATTTTATGGTTTTACATAATTCATTGAAGAGTTGTATTAAATGTGAGTTGAGGACTACATCTTGAAATTGATGGTAAAACATTGGTTTTTACAAAAGAAATTGTTTCAACCAGATTTGCACAATAATTCACTTTCCTGATTATGTAAATATTAATTTTTAAATGTTCTTTTCAGTACCGTATGTAAAATGATTCTTGATCCAACTTCACAGAAAAGGATGAGGTACACTATGAAATACATCACATTCAGTATTATTTCCAGTCGATATGATGTTCAAGGGTATTTTTAATGATATATTGGTACATCGGTACTCCATCTTTATTCACTCAAAAAATTCAAAACATATATTGTCACACAGTTTTAAGCACAATCATAAATATATCTTGAGTATTCTGAGAAAATGTATTAAAATGAATGTAATCTATTTTGGTTTGGTACAAAAGGAGACTCAAGGAATAATTATTTTTTTTCGGAAGGAGGCTCAAACAAAATTATATGAAGTGCCATTGAGAGTGACCCATTCTATGGGCCTTCTCATTGACATCAGAAAAAAATTATTCTGGGGAGGATAGTACCATACCCCTCTTCTCTCGTTAAAAACATTGTTATCTATCTGATAATCAATGTTCCTCAAATATAATTCTACAAAGGAGGGTGTTATCCATTTTCTCACAATTTTCTGTTTGCCCCCAACCTACATTAAGTGATTTTCCTTCTATTACCCCCTCATGACTTTTATGAATTACATGTGATTGAAATTCTTTTCTTACTTGTTCCTCCAGGTTTCTTTTTTTTTTTCCAGTTAAAATTTAGTATGTCGGGGCATTTGGTAGCACTGTGAAACAATTCTTAATGAAAAGGCTTTATTTTAGTAGTTTTAAGGGGAAGGTATAAGGGGTCACCATGACTCCTTGTTCATCTTTACACTTATACAATCGTGCAAATACTAGATTCCTTGTCTCAATTTAGTTTATCTGTGATTACATACTTTAAAGAGAAGGTTGAGTTCTGGGAAGAGGTGAAAAATAATTTGTGAGCATTACTCATTCTTATTATGCAAGTGTGGAACAACATCAGATAAGACATGTTCCCTGAAAAGCATAGCTCTTCAAATGCCTTCATATTCTAAATATGCATGTAACATCGTAAAAATCGGGGGCCGGCTTTTTACGCCACGTGTTCGTGTAGTCCCATATACATCTTTCTGTGTACAGTGTTTGTAACTTTACCAAGACTTGGCCAAATTTCTTATCATTTTGATGATTCCAGAACCTTGCAATACACACAAATTCTTATATGCTAGATGATCAACCTTTTCTGGTCGGTTCCACACCGTTTCTTTCACAATGCAATCGAATGACCAGAACTCAACTTCATCTTTAGCAAGGGCATTGCTTTAGTAGTTTTAAGGGGGCAGATTTTGAGACGAATCACCATGACACTGTGTTGATCTACTTGCTTAGATGATTATGCAAGTTCTTGATTTCTGGGTACGGCTGCTGTTTTGGTGATAATGAGGCTGGTGTAATAGGACCCTAGGTGTAGATAAAACATGTCGTGGCGGCTGTTCTGATGGTACCCCATGGACAGCTCGTGACCGCTGATCTGATGGGCGCCTATGCTCTTTGTGGATCGCCTTTTCTCCATTCACCACCATCCTGCGCAAGATGTTTAAGAACTGCAGATGCCTCTTATCGTCCCGTGAATGGCTCTCTCTCCTGTAGTTCTCGACACAGAAGATGTCGTCCTCGTCAATACGCAAGGCACCCAAGACTGATTTGAATCGCTTGGCCAGTGGCTTGCCATGATCGCCTGCCACGAAATGGTGTGTTATTACAAACATCGGCGTGTATCCTACGAAGAGAAAGTGAATTAAATCGGGATTAGACACTATGTTCACTCCACAGGGAGCGGAGCGTTTGCACTATCACATTAAGATCAGCAATGGAATCCAATGACCAGGGTAATAATAATTACGTACAATGTAAAGCGCTTTGCAAACATCGTTTTAAGCGGGACACCTACCCCCCGGATCACCACCCCCAGTCAACTACCCCCTAGGGCAACCCCCCTCTAAGACGAATACCCCCGGGACAACTACCCCCTTAGATAGTTGTCCAGGGGTAGTTGTCCTGGAGGATGGTTGTCATAGGGGGTATTAATTGTACAAGGGTAGTTGTCCCAGGGGCCCTAGTAGGGGGTAGTTGTCCTAGGGGGTAGTTGACTGGGGGTGGATGTCCGGGGGGTAGGTGTCCTAGAACCAGTTTTAAGATCAATGCAAATGTGACTATTATTAAGTTTGCTCAAAAGTGCAAGGAAACCCTTGCAATTGGATTAAGTCGGAGAAGCTTGTACCTGTTGAGATTGATTACTTGCAACAACATGAGTCCAATAATGTCAAACTTTACAATTGTAATCAAAAAAGTTTAAAATGAAATACACACCCCCTCCCCGCCCCCCCCCCACTCAGTGTTATTTAGTGTACGCATTATGTGTGTTCCCAGCAACCCCCCCCCCCCCCCCCCCCCTTTCAGCAAAAGTCTGGTGTGTAAATTCAATACGGGTAGACTTTTTTCTTTTGCTACGAGCTGGAGAGTTTGGGAACACGCATGTTATCCCTCCGTTCACGGAGTGGGGGGCGGGGGGAATGAAGAGGGGAACCATTTTGTGACACACCTACCGCTTATATTTTCAACACGATCGATCAAATCACTCCAGACATCTGCTCTCATGCCAGCCATTATGGACACTGCACTGGTTGTTGGAAGGAATGAAGAAGAAATGGAATATTTTAAAAGACTTACCTCACTACAATGATGACATAATGTTTGGGCCTGTCATAGTGAACATTCGAGTTCAAAATAGCACTTTCTTCTTATTTTACTTTGCGAAACGTAATTTTTGATACGACACTAATGACTTTAGATAGTTATATCAAATTCTTTGAGTTTGAAGGGCTCACTATTTAATCTACATTCTACTAGACTCAGGGGCAGATCCAGCCGGAGGCAGGGGGGGGGGGGAAGTGAGCACTGATTTTTTTTTTGCTCCCGAAAATTTGAAAAATCGCACCCCCCCCCCTCCTTGAGCGCCAGGGGAGGGGGCTCTTCTCCAAAAAAAGGTAAAATTAACATGTTATTAACTGTATTTTTTCCCAGAGGAGAGGACCCCCCCCCCCCCCCTGGATCCACCACTGACTCGACTTACCTCACTACAATGACGACACAATGCATCTCACTGTTGTTTGGACCAGTCATAGTGAAATTTCTTGCGTGATTCTCGAGACTCTTTCTGACTCCGTCCCAATACGATGCCGGTGTCCAATCAACTCTGTCTTCTCTCACACGAACCCCTGATTTTTTTTTTTACAAAAGAGAAACGACATGAACAGTAAAATAGAGTCTTCTGCCGTTAAGTACATGGGTGGTTAATTCAATATTTTGTTTAATACAACGAAAATAAACACAAACAAAAAATTCAAACACCATTTCGAAAGAATTAATCATTTAGACTTTATAAACCAGCAAAAAAAATTTAAGGGGCAGAACGACATAATTTCAATTTCCAGTTGATATCATATATAGTAAATCACTCGATACACAAGTGTGTTTTTTTAAATTTTATTTATTTATTTCCACATACGGGCGGAACACCCTAGTCAAGACAACTTCCTCAGATGACCCTAATTTTCCCCTCTTTTGTGGTATGACATAAAGTCACATAAGGTGTGTATTTTTGTTTCGATGTCGGGTGCGGTTCTTGAAGAATATATAAATATTTTGGAAGGTTGCTTGGGACAGAGTTGGATGCAAGATTTTGTAAAAGAGGGAGTTAAAGAACATTTCGTTGCCAGAGCCGCAGCTGTATATAGGCTAGGGTAATAATATCGATATCATACATGATTGTGATATGCGCTATATAATACAAGAACGGTTTATTGCCTTGGGTGTTATTTTTAATATTTTTATTAAAACTAGAAAAGTCATACGGTTTTGTCTTTCGGCTTCTCTCAAGTAGTCTGCATTGACATTGGCTGTGCCACGGTTGTTGTAGACGACGATGTTCCTGGCGACGTTAATCGGCTCCCATCTCGGCGTTATCGAGGCCTCATCCCTCGAGCCCTTATCACTCGAGCCCTCTTTCGCGGGAGCGTCCCATCTGTTTGTTAACGCATAGAAGATGGAGTTAATGAAAGACGATTTGCCAACGCCCGTGTGGCCGAACACGGCACAACGAATTTGACTGGGAAGGGCCGGTGACTTGTTGAGAACGATGAAGTCCCCTGGTTTGTAGTACGTCAACTCATTCTGCAAAAATGCTATATCGTCCGCCCTGATAGTGAATAGAAAGAAAAGCAGAGATGAAAGCTTTTTAATTCATCTTCATTTTTTTAATTTCATTTTTTTTTTCATTTCCAACAAAATACCATACATAATAACGAATACAATGTAAAATGTATTCAAAACATTGTTACATTTGTAATGAACAAATCTTAACAGTAATTTATACATTTGAGGAAGACAAAAATTGAATTACAAATTCAAGTGCATTTATATTTTGAGGACATGGAGTGGTCCACTGAAAAGCAGAGCTTGTAAATTGTGGACCCCTCTGATAATAATGAGTGTAAAAAGTATGGAATACACAAACAATCAAAGACGAATAGCGACCAACAGAGACAACATTAATTTAAACACGTAATGACTGGAAACGTGAAGACGTACAAAATTACATGACGAAGAAAGAACGGGAAAAGGGGGGGGGGAGAAAATGTGAGCTGCGTTTGGAGGGAAGGAGAGGAGAAAAAAGGAAACTTGTAGAGATCAAGCACGAAATAGGGAGAGCACAAAATTTTAGAGATACATGTAGCTTCAAGAAAAAGAGAAAGAACATGATGGCAAGTATAGTATGGATTTTTAGAGATGGGCAGACTAAGAAAAGAGAGGAGAAAAAAGTGAGAAGGAGATATTCTACCACAACAAATTTTTAAATATTATGCGATTGTAATAAAAACAATTTTAGCTTTTTTTTAAAGCAATTAGTGAAGGGGAAGTTTTCAAATCGTTATGCAGAGTATCCCAAAAATTAGGGCCTTTGTTTGTTTCTTTGGGGTTGTTAATATTTTAAAAGGACCTTACAGTACATGGTTTTGTGCTTCTTGCTGTCATTGTGTTATGTTTTCGTTCTCTTTGTCTTTTACCAAAATAATTATCACGAAGTCACCGACTCGAGCTTGGTCTTTATTCTTTCTTCAGTTTAAAGAACATTGAAATATATACAACGCATTTCAAGGGTAAACATGCAAGGTACATTAAACAAATTCATAGAAAACAACAAGCCTAAAGAGGGACCAGCATTAAAAAAGCAAATTGAGCCTTGATGGGTTGATGGTCCCAAGAAATGGCAAGTGATAACATGGCCGTGTTGGTATTCTGAAAACGTTGTGAACTTCTATTTTACGTTCTGTTAAAGTTCCAGAGTCTACATACCCTCAACATACCGCTAGATCGGTATTCTGAAAACTATGTTTAGAGTATGTTATCCTTTTTTAGGTTACGTCCCCGAGACGCCCATTTATCATTGATTCTCCAATGAGAATCACCGTCGAGATGTACTCGGAGCCAATCACGTTTCATGTTTGATCGTGCGTACAGCTATGTGAACTGGGCATCAACTCATACTTAATTGTCACGAAAATGATCATGGAAGGCTAATTTATTCCGTTCTTTCCTATGTTTTTTTTTTACAATTGTTCAAGTCAAGTCAAGCCATGAAGATAAGACTGTTCTTCCATGGGGTCCAAGATGATATGGAATCATAAATCCAATTAATAGCTTACATGAGATCGGGGACGAACGACGAAGGCAATTTGCCTTTTTGAAAATACTTTAAGACTACATGGGAGTTTTAGATTTGCGGGGAGATTGTTGAATTGAATAGCACATCTGTAAGAGAACTTACGTTTACAATAAGCTGTACCTTTACAAGTTCTGACAATCATACTATAAAATATAATAGCAGGTGAATGAAATATTTCATTACGACCCATTAGGGAAGAGAGTATCGATAAATATGAAAATATCATACACGACTGCGCACAGTACGTCACGTAGAAAAAGAAGATGCCCATGCCGTATTGAGAAACTTTACATTTTGCTAATTAGTTTATATCTCTCTCGTACATTTGGTGATTCTTGTATATTAATGCGCAAGAATACATTACATCTCTCAAAATATCCAGGGAGGTGAGACTTAAACCTCCTTGAAATAACTGAAGTTATCTCCAGGGGTGAGGTTTCATTTGATGTTAACCCAACCACGAATCTCGTTGATTTGAATAACCTTTTGTTTCCGATACGAGTCATGTGAGGGATAACTGTAGGGGAATTCCCATTTAATACTGAGTTACCCCCTTCATATTAGCTGCATGCATCGTAGCGGTTACCATGAAAACGAACAATGTTAACGCATAACGTGGGCATCGGTGTTTAGAGGGAAATAATGTTTTGATTGTGGTACTCATTTTCGTTTTGTATTCTTCTCTCTCTCTCTCTCTCTCTCTCTCTCTGTCCGCCTCTCCCTCTCTCTCTTTTCTCTCGATCAAGGTAAGCATTTACAGCTCCCCCTCACCGATCCTATTCTTCCTTCTCATACAGGGGATTTCCCGCACGTACTCCCCACACGAATTCTACCACAATTTCTCTCTCACTCTGTCCCCCCCCCCCCTCTCTCTCTCTCTCTCTCTCTCTCTCTCTCTCTCTCTCTCTCTCTGTTCTCTCGATCAAGGTAAACATTTCAGCTCCCCCTCATCGATTCCTTATCTTCCTTTCACATAGGGAATTTCCCTCACGTACTCCCAAACGAATGCTCCAACAATTTCTCTATGTCTCTCTCCCCCACTCTCTCTGTTCTCTCGATCAAGGTAGACATTTTCAGCTCCCCCTCACCGATATCTTTTTTTCTTAATAACAATAACAGGGGATTTCCCTCACGTACTCCCGAACGAATTCTGTAACAATTCAGACCAACGCAAATACTGTCATAGCAACGACCAGGTGTCATCGCGAGGTGAACCGTCCTTTCAGCATGAACTTTCAAATATACACTTAATTAACAACTGAATTATTCATATACTCCTTGTAAATTTAACTTTTTTGTTGTTGGTGTTATTCGTAACTCAAGAATGAAAGGTGGACTGGTTGAATTAGGGCCTTTGATGAATAGTTTAAAGATGTCACATTCTCCAGAAAAATAAATCGGGACAAATCAGTTTACACATAGTTACAGTACTTTAAAAATCACAACACATATAGGGTAACGGTATGAATAATTTAGCTGTTAACTGTAAAACTAAATTATGTTGAATAAATAAAAATATTCGATCTTATCATAGGGCTATATATTTCCAAAAGTCTATTGATACCGATGCTGTCTATACAGTCCATACCGTATCCCCCCCCCCCCCAACCCTTCACGTTCATTATCGGTCATATTAAGATTCCATTTTGTTATGACCGGTATTTTTGTTTTCAATTGAAAAATATCGTTTTAAAGAAAGTTTACACAAGAAAAGAATAACCTATGGAAATTTCAGTTTGAATCAATTATTGAATCTAACATGAAAATGAAACCGTCACTTTTTAAATTCAAAGTTAAGTTTGCAAACGACAAAAAATGTTATATAGGATTTTTGTTGCTCAGTCAAATCTGGAAAAATGGACGCATAGTCAAAATGAAGAATGTGAAACAAAGAGATAAAGTACTCGAACGAGAATTGACTTTTGACGATATTAGATGCAAAATAATGAAATTGATCGGACAAAGTTTGATAATAAATGACCAATGACAAATTTGATCATGAAATGGGTGCAAGATTACGGAATTTCGAGACGAAATTGAATGAAAAAAAGTTTAAGTTTGAAACAAAAATGGATTGTTACACACTTTAATAAAAAGAGTAAAATTTTGACCTATAAAGAGCAAAAAGGTAACTCACAGGAAATTGGGTAAAAATTTTACCCAAGTGGTTGTGTCAAATGTAACTAAGAAAAGTGTAAAAGTCACTAAAATCTGTATTTTAAAATGAGTAAACCATAGTTTTACTCATTTTCTGTAGAGTTACCTTTTTACTCATGTGCTGTGCAAATAATGATTTTACTCATTATTGAGAATGAAAATCTTTTCCCTTATTCCTCACTTTGACGTAATGTTGTGCGAAATACATTCTACTCAGTTAAATAAAGTAGTTTTACTCTTCTAACCCAGAATGCTTCAGTTGTCTAAATAATTAATCAATTGATTGCTGATTCTTTATTGTCCAGTGTTACAGCAATAAAGAAACAGTCAAATAATCTATCAATCCATCATTTTGGGAAGTCACTGAAAATGGTGCATTCTCGATAACAGCTTTTGTGGGGTCTTTGAGTAAAATGTACTTACACTGGAAGTTCGAGGCAAGCTGACCGAGCCCCCACTTCGTCAGAATGCTTCCCACTTCATCCATGTTTTTCTCTCTTGTCTATAACTTCTGCCAGTCTTTGCCTGCATGCGCAATTTCATGTCAACGGTCAATTAAATTTCTCAAATGTTTAATTTAAAGGCAGACTTTACTACTTCAGCCAGAAGGGATTAGACCACCCAGCGAGCCAGCGAGGTCACTGTGACAGGTGGCTATCTCATTTACTCAGCTCTCATTTAACATAAGAAAAAGAGGACCATGGGGGACCAACAGGCACCGATTGGGGAAGTTTTCTATATAGATGGAGCAAGTAGCTACAAGTAGGACAGTGTGCCTTTAAGAGTAAAGGGTAAACGGCCACGTGCCTCGACCTCGCGAACGTATATCATTTCGGGGCTATACATCGATGTACACTCTTGAGTAAAGTGAATTCTTATAGGCTTGTACGGACATCAACTTCGCAACATACTGCACACAACTAGTTCAACACATCCAAAGAAGCAAACTTTCTTACTAATATAAAGCGATGAGGGTAAACACCATGTTACTCAGATTTTCTTAAACATTCTTATAAATTATTGATAATTGATGTGAAAAATAACATTTACTATTTGTTGAGGATTAAAATGTTAATTATCGATTTAGTAAGAAAAGTTATCTTTTTGGGGTAAACCTTGACTTTACGCAGGGAAAAATTACTCTTTGTTTTTAGAGTAGGGGAAAAAATTATTCTCCTGAAAAGAGACGATTACAGTTATCATGGAGATAAAAGTAGAGATCTCCATGCAGTTATTATCACTCTAATTTAAAGGTTTTTTTTAATCTCCCTATCTTTCCTTCCCCCCCCCCCCCCCCCCCTCTCTCTCTCTCTCTCTCTCTCTCTCTCTTGTTACATAGGATATTGTTTTCGTTTCTTATCACCTGATACTCAGTGACTTTGTGATAGGTCTATCCACTTTTATCTCCATGGTCTATCTGATTGTATTCACTATGTGTTGTTATCTTTTAGAATAGATCCGAACTTTCGCACACTTACAATTTCGGCTCCTTTTCATCGATTAAATATTGATGGTTATATTTTGGTTAAGGGTTATATTAAGGGTGCAATAAACGGACGCAGATCCCACGAAAACGTAGCCCTCTATCAGTTTCCTCATAGGAGTTCCTTGAGCCTCGGCGACAAAATTTACTCTTTGTTTCGGCAAAATAGATCATTTTCAGAAGCCGGACGGAACTGTCATTATTTTTGTTGTTGTAAGAACTGAGCAACATCAAACGGGCACCACAAAACGCATCTAATTGTCTCCACAAAATAATAAATAAAACGTACTCTCTTTAAAATTAAATGAATTTTCACTCTATTTTCACTTTCTTGGGAGTGACGGTCAGGGATCACTTGTTCAGGAGTGAACATCGATAGATTTAGAAGAAAAGAGTGAATGTTCATTCTATTTTCACTACATTTTCACTCTCCAGAGGAGTGACGTCAGTGATCACTCGATTTTTTTTTTTAGAGAGAGAGAGTACCATGGCCAAACGAAACAAAACTTGTTTTAAATATTTAAAAATCATAAACAAATATAACAATCTATTTAACACTTCTCACTTTCATTCTTCTTTCTTTTCTTTTCCCCCTCAATATTTCATTCATGGTAACATTGCTTACCTGTTATAGTCAGCCATCCTTTTGCGATGCTTCCTTTATGTGCAGCTCAGAAAGAAGAGTTAACTTCTAATTAGTCATTCGCAAGTTTGTGACAGAGTTTATACAGTAGAGGAAGCAGATACACTGGGAGAAGTTTTCATCTCTCTCTCTCTCTCTCTCTCTCTCTCTCCGACTGTCTCTAGCATAGATGTTCATCTTCTGACCAATCAGTGATGGCCTCTTTGTTATGGTAATGAACGTGTTTAGTTTGGAACATGCGCCGCCAAATCATTGTCGTGATGTTTATATTATCATCCGCATCCAGCGAGCAGCCAATAGCCATAATCATAGAGCTATCCCGAGGGGAAAAAGTCTCTATCTCCCAGGTACCTGTCGATCACCCCGACCCCCCCCCCCCTCCTCTGAAAAAAGTCTTGTACGGGCATAATGGTGGTGTTGGTGGTGTTGGGGGTGGTAGGGATAATGGTGAAAGCCGTGCAATGATGATATAATTGACAACAGACTTAACTCCGTTTCGTTGACAATCAGCCATGCATGAAGTCTTTTGTCTACGGCTGATTGTCAACGAAATGGAGTTGAGTCTTTTGTCAACCCTGTTTGTTGCTACGGCAGGCACCCAGTGAAAACGAATTCGTTTGATAAAATTATTGAAATGCAAGCACTACTTTAAACAAACAGAACTTTATTTATCAATTATAAATGTGATTAAGTTATGATAAAATATCGATAATTCTCGGTTTCGTTTTTTCTGGGACTGTATAAGAAAAAGTGTGTCTTTAAGAGACAAGCTATAATTATTATGGTGGTGATGATGATGATGATGATGATGATGATGATGATGAGGAAGTTGATGATGATGATGATAATAGTCACGATCACTTTAATGATAACAATGATAAACTATATAGCCCCGCTGCAAGTTTCCTGCCTTTCTCCTTGTCTGCATCTGTGAATGCATGCATGGGCATATACTCAAAACACCGATTGTCCGGGGGGGGGGGGGGGGGGGGGGGGCTCTATCCAATGATGGAGACACATACGAGTTTCTGTTGTGTATAAAAGCCTCGTTGTAAAAGTAATTTAACATTATAATCTTATGGCCCATATATATGGAGATTCGTCTTGTTTTTATGCTAAAGGAAAACATATATATATATATATTATAATCAAAACAAAATGACAAAGAGAAACGTAATAAATGGATCAATAACGATAGTACATTAACAATTTTAGTTGAAAAAAGGCGAAGGTAATACAATTTTATAACTCTATTATTAGTAGTCATAGTATATAGTGTCAGAAGTATTAGTAGTATAGTAGTCGTATAATTATGATGATTATTATTATTATCAGTATTATCATTATGTTTATTAATATTATTATCATTATTATCATCATCGACCATCATAATCATCATCATTAATCATCACTCATCATTATATTTCTTCTTATTAGTAGTAATGTCGTTATCTTAATTGTCATGATGGTTATCTCTATACCAGTTTTGTTGTATTTTCATCGATATGATATAGTTCTTATAATATATACATGATCAATTGAATATATACATCGCCATCGGGCAATTACGTCATCAAAATCCCGCACAGGCCTTGCTTCCTCTTGGGGGCCGGGGGGGGGGGGGGGGGGGTGACGCCTACAAAAACGAAATTCGATCCCCATTTCCAATTAAAGTCCTTGTACTGCCCTTATACTCATTGTATAGGCCTACTACATATAATTGATGGGAGGGGAAAAAACATTAAAAATATCTCCAACCTCCCTGCTTTAACCCACCGCTGGACATCCGCTTATATAAACAATAACAGAAACTTAGAAAACCTAGACCTAGATATGACTATATTGACCCTATTTTTCGCTTCGTCATCATTGCAGGCTGCCAGCGCTGCGTCATCTCGATGTGATCAACACGATTACGAATACCAGTGCCAGTACGAGTGGTCGTGTTATAAATGAACTCTGAATCTGAAGCACTACTACTACGTAATTTAACAGTCAGACAAGTCCAAGGTAAGTTCTATAATAATTGAAAATGTGTAGGGGATTTCTTTGCTAAGAGACATTTTAAATTAATGTAGTTCATTTCACTTTCTCAAATTTCAAAGACAGATTTTTCTGTGAACAAAAGGACAAATTTGTACAGTTTGGTCCCACATGTATTGTTTTATGTACCGTACGTGGGCAATGAATGATCGCTGGGAAGCAAAGTCGGCGACCGGCGGCGACCCATCCTAAATATTGTTTGTAGGGGTCCAATCTTTTCTTTAATAAATTCGTTTTATTTCTAATATCATAAAGATTAGGTACATTAAGACTCTTCATCAAAATTTGAACTATCCTAGACTAGCAGTAGAACAAGCTAATTTTGATGTGATGAGAAACTGAATGAAGGAGTGATGATGAAGCTTGACTCTGAATGAAATTTTATTAAAACAATGTCACTCGTGGCACTCCTCCTCTTTCTCCTCCTCTTCTTCCTCCTTTTTCTCCTCCTCCTCCTCCTTTTTCTCCTCCTCCTCCTCCTCCTTTTTCTCCTCCTCCTTTTTCTCCTCCTCCTACTCTTAATTCTTCGAGCTTCTCCCCTCTTCTCTTCTTCCCGTTCCTCTTCTTTCTTCTTTTTCTTTTTCTTCACCTCCTATCTTCAACTTGTTTTTTTTCATTTTTTTTTTTTAACATCAGGTAATGGAATATAAACCCTTGTTGTCCAATGCTGTGCAGTGCATTTTGGTGATTTGTCACATTACCATCGACCATCGTACAAACTAGACGGGATAAATTGCAATACAATTATTTTAAATAGGCCTAGACTCTAGACTACTTATTAAATCACTGAAAAAATCATTTTCTGACTGATTATTTTTGCAGTCATGTGTCTTTTATATATTTTTTTTTTACTTGCAATAGGTTTGGTCAATAAAATAATTTTGCCCACAAAATTTTTTTTTGTCCATATCGCACTTCCAAAAATCTTGCCTTATCTAGTGTTTGCGATAGGGATTGAGAATTTGGACCTTGATTTATCATAGGTGTGTGTATGGTGACGCAAAAAAATTACAAATTATCTCTTTTCTTCCCCTGAAATTTAAGTGTCATAATTTGTAACTAAACTTACTAAAGTGCCAATTTTTAGTGTATTTTAATGACTTTTGTACATTTGTGTTGGAAACTTCTGAGAATCAATTTAGAGGAGGATAGATTTTTTAAACACAAAGTATTGTAATGCTGCTTTGAGTGCTTCATCAACATCATTATCTGCCATCTTCTTCCACTTCTTCTTCCTTCATTTCTTCTCTTTCTCCTCCTTTTTCTCCTCCTTTTTCTCCTCCTTTTTCTCCTCCTTTTTCTCCTTCTCCTCTTCATTCTTCTATATCTTATCTATTTTGATCCTTTGCCCAATGTATTTGCCTGCTCTTCTAAAAAGAACTCCAAACTCCAAAGTTACGAGTATTCCTAAATTCAATTAACTTAATTAAACTTATTTTTTTTCTCTCACTTATCACCCTGAAGCCAGTTCCAAGATGGAGGACAAAGTTTCAACGGGGCAAAGAGTGTTGGTCGTATGGAGTCAAGGACAGTCCCCGGAACAAATCAAAGAAGTAGTCGAGAGACTGAGCAGTAAGGTCAGTCAGAGTGGGCGCGTCCAGGTGGAGAATGACGAGAGAATAACCATGTGTAAGTATTCATTTTCGCGTACATGAAGACGTCTTTATGGGAATCCTTTGGTTATCTTTTATATGGCCATTTAAAGATAAAGGGTGGTATTCTCGAAAGTGGACTAAATTTAGTCCATGGTTTAACCCTCCTACTAAGTATGGAATGCCAAGTGTCCATATGAATATGTTGTTTAATAATTTAATATGTTGTTTAATAATTTAATATGTTTTCATTAAAGAAATATTTTGCAATGAAATAGTTAATTACAACAATATAACTATGAAATAATCATGTTGTCATGGTAATTTAGTTACATATCAAATTATTCAAAAATATATTCATACCGACAATTGGCATTCCATATTTAGTCAGAGGATCAAACCATGGAATAAATTTAATCCGCTTTCCAGAATACCACCCAAAGGTCATGTGATTACATCGTGAAGGAAACTGTTTGAAACCGTCTCCAGGGAAAAAGGTTGATTGTGTAGTACTTAAATAAGAATTAATGTATGCTGTTAGGTTTTGGAGTGACCAAAATGACAAGGATTTAGGTCTTGCTGAAAAATCTTATGCATTGCACACAGAAGTGAGCTTTACTTCCACTTTACACAATACACACTCACACATCACACTCACGAACTCATACACAAAGATTGTTTATATTTTCATTTTAAATTTCACCTTAAGATTTTTCTTTTGAGACTGCCTTCCTAGTCAAGCATCGCTTATGATTGCAGTCATCTGCACTTTTCCACAGATTGTTCGGATAATACTTTAAATTATGATAATATGTTATACAAATATTAAGTTCGTTATTATATGTATATATGTAAAAAAAAAACATTGTGACTTGAAGTTATTATTGTTTGTATATTTGTATTATACCTTACATTTATATGTTCTTTGTTATTCATTTATTTAAATATATTTGGAAAAATGCAGAAATAAAATAGAGTCAATATCTGTACGAGCCATGATTATTTTCTTCTCGGACCCTTAGCCTCACATGCAGCGTCGTCCTTTGACGTGGCACTGGTAGGAGCAATCAAGCCCTCATCGCAGACTAACTCCTTCGAGACTCTCGCAGAGATAGCCAGAATCCTCAAGCCCAAGGGACAGTTGCTCTTACGTGAACCTGTCACAGAGTCAGGTATACACCCCCCACCCCCCTTTTTTCAAAAGTCATTTTCTAATAGATTTGAAGGGTCGGTGTACAACCATTAGTAGGCCCAACAATGAACAGTTCAAAATCAAAAGCTCAAGAATGTGACTTAACTGTAGTTTAAGTAGTAGGAGTAATAGGTGTAGTTTTCGTCGTAGTAGTAGTAGAAGTAGAAGTAGAAATTGAGGTGTTATGGTGGTGGTGGTCATGGTTGTGGTGATAATCTGATACTATTACAGAGATGCCAAACCAGTATGATTAAATCGTATTAAGTGCGATAATAAGAGTGAAATACAATAATACGATATCACCTCTCAAAATCTTTTTTTTTTTTTTTTAATCTTTAAAAAAAGCTTTTTAAAATAATATTTAAAAAGTACAAGTAAACCCTCGCAACCCCAGCAAAAACTTGCTTTACAATTTTCTCCTTAAATTCTAATGAAGAGCAAACATTTTACTTGACCGTTCTTTTCCTGGCCTAATTTTTCTCTCCAAAATCTGATTTTTTAGGATACTCAATCTGTGTTTTTTTGTGTCAAGAGGTTGGTATCCCTGCTATTAGCATTCATCATCATTAATGTTCAAGAAAGGATGAGATAATTTTAAAGTATCAAATATCAACATGGCATAGGATATAAACCTTAAAATATGACTATAATTATGTACATGGAAAAATGACTAAATTGTGGCATACTTCTCTAGTGATCACTGAGACCCCAATATAGCATCATTCTCTACTTTTGTCTTTCTTTTTCATTTTAGTATAAAAGATAAATAAAGGTATAGACCAAAAATATCTAGACCATTGTACATTATACAAGACATATATTCCTCAGTTTCATAAGAATACATTATAAACATATCTATGTATTTTTCTTGTTTTGTAATAGAGAATGGAAATGGAATCAGAACAGCAGCCAAGCTTGGATCAGCATTAAAGCTCAGTGGATTTATAAACGTTAATCAGGTAGTTAATATTTGAAAATTATTAATGTTTGAAATTGTATGTATGTTAAATGATCTACTGATGTATTTTTTCCATCATTCATTCTTTATACAAGGCTGTAGTTTTACCTGTCTTGTAATAGTTTCAAGAATAATAGCTTTGCCTAATAGTTGCAAGTAAAACAAAAAACTATGCCACCTGAAAATTGAGCATTAGTTGACTTGTAAAATATTTGTTGTTTTTATTAATTTAATAATTGATTATTTTTATCATCTCTTTATTATCTCTTTATCCATGGTTCCACACTAACTTTATGGGAGGGGGTCTGGATTTAGATTTCTAAAGTCTGTATGCACATGCCTTATGAAAAGAATTTAAATCTTTGAGGTTTGTATCTAATGAAAAGGGGCTTTATATATGTCAAGTTATTATTAATATATTATATAATATTATTTTAATCTTGTTATTTCAATGAACAGAATGCAGTGGAGGACGCAGAGCTGGCTTCGATAGCCCAGAGTAGAAATATGACCGAGGTCGATGGTTTGAGGATGGTTGAAGTATCCTGCAGTAAACCAGACTTTGAGGTGGGCTCAACTGCTGCATTACCTCTCTCGTTTGCCCCCAAAGCAAAACCCGGTAAGAATGAGATGTTACTATGATGACCTCTCACCTTTGACCTCTCTCCTTTGACCTTTATTCATATCAAACTTTGTCTTGAATCACTATGCAACTAAATGCATGATCTAACACTTGGGGTTTGAATCCTTCTAGTTCCTCATGGCAGAGTTTCACGAAACCGTTATGATGAGGTCACTTCATATTCAATTCAATTTGATTCAATTTGCAGATTTTCAACAACAAAATTCCACAGAATATGCCCCATTTTAGCCTAAAAGCAAGTACAAAATGGCTTTTAAGTATAAGCCTAACTTTAGCTCAAATTCACACAAATTATCCATTTTCACAGAATTTGCCCTATGCTTTTCAAGTCACAGGTAAATAAAGACAGGAGTTCATGTGACATCGCCTTTGATAGCATCGTTAAGTTTCTTGTCATGATATCTTGAATAATTTTTTCACGTTTACACTTGTAGTTCATTCAGTATGATAAAGCAAGTTTTCGAGGCATTCTACTTTCGTCAGTCAAAGGGGCTCAAAAGCCACATGAGATTTGTCAATTCAAATGGGATTTTCACCAGTTACTAGGGGGGAGGGGGGGGGGGTAGGATGCTTTGTGGCATCTGGTATCCTGGTAATAAGGGACATGTACCATAACTTTGTATCGTACACTAGTTAGCAGTTATCTATGTCATTAAGGATTATGATTTTTGTATTTCTTCCAGAGCCAGCAAAGAAGAGCAATGATGTAGCAAAGGTCTGGACCCTGTCGGCTTTCGATATGGCCGATGATGATGTGGTAGGTAGACATTGAATTTGAAGCAAAATAAACATTGTATATAGATGCATTGAGGTATTAAATTAACTTGAAGCATATCAATTGCTTCACATTTGTTACTTGATCAGGTATATGCACATCATTTGTTGTGTTGTGCTAATCTACAAACACAACTAGACCTAAAATAGCTAGGGATTAAACTCAAACCCACTTAAAAATCTATTTCAAACTATAATCAAATTGTCTAGAATGGGTAAAGTATTATCTGAGTAAATGTGTTGTCTCATTTTCTTTTTTTTTTACCTCAAAACATTGTTTGATTGAATGAAAGCAGTTTTGTAAAGATTTCTGTAAGACAAGTTTGTTTAGGCGAGGCGTTAAAAATAAATATACCAGCCAGTGGCAGCTAACTGCACTTGTGCGTCCTGGCTGCATTTTTTAAATTAGCTCAGCCGGCTACCGCTGGCGGTAGGAAATGGCATTCAAAAGCATGCGCCGGCTGCCGCCTTTCGAATGGAAACCGAGCCTCAGATCCCAGCTTGGCGCAAGCCGGCTGGGCTAATAAGTGAAAAATAATTGCCCCAGCCAGGCTTCGGCCGTAATTGCAGCCTCGATGCGCCAATACGTGAGGCGGCAGTCTGCTGGTATCGATATTTTTGACGCCACGCCTTAAAGAAAATCATCAACAAATGCAGAACTATCTTCTATCATTCATTGAAATTTTAAAGTTGGTTTTAAGAGGATTTGAAAAAAAAACTATTTTTGCTTTTTAAAAGTTTTTGTAACCACATTTTTGGAGTACACATGTACGTCTACTTATCATCATCAGTATTTTAGAGTATACATATAGGTCCAGTTTATATATATGTCCTCTTATTCTCAATTCTTGTATTATTATTTGTTACTGTTTGTATCCTAATAGGACATCATTGATTCTGATGCCCTTCTGGAGGAAGAGGACTTGATGAAACCAGACCCAGAATCTTTAAAAGGTATTATTCCAAACATGAAGTCTTTTGTAAAACTAAAAAGTGAAAATATGTACCGTAGTCTTTTAAAGCTTATCTGTACTGGTTTATAGGAGGGATTAGACCGCCCTGCAAGGTTACTGGACAGGTGGTTATCTCATCAACTCAGCTCTCAATTAACATAAGAAAAAGAGGATCATGGGAAACCAATGGTCACCAATTAGGCATTTTTTCTATATAGAGGGAGCAAGTAGCTACCAGGACAGTGTGGCTTTAAACTATATTTCATAAATCAATAAGTTCTGCAGCTACAAGATTTGTTTTCGTTTTCATTTAGAATGAGTTGGTTGAGATGACAAGAATGATTTTGAACAAAGCTAAGTAAGTGTAATGGCTGATTTTGAGATTCATAAGAGGGAGGGGCTCAGTCTTTAAACTCCTTTCTCACATCATCTCTCTCTTTTTTTATTACTCCAATTCCAGACTTCATGAAGAGAAGTTGGATGTCGCTGTTTGCAGTAGAATAATATATATGGATTGAAAGTGAACTGCTTAGATTGTGACGTGCCATTATCATATTGTGCTTCTTTTCTTTCTGTACAGCCACGTGTGGTCCAAATTCTGGCAAGAGGAAAGCTTGCAAAAACTGGTATGTATACTTAATTTATATATCATTTTATATTTCCTATAATACATGTATTTCCATTTATACTTGATGTAATTTTTCTTCAAATTACTGTAGATACTTTGTTAGTTTACCACACATTCTCTCCTAGCTTATGGTTTTGGAAAGTTTAACATCTAGATTTTAAAGGGCAGGGTTCTCTAAGATGCATTTTTTTTACTAGCAGGGAAGTACAACAACATCAGCATCAACAACAATAGCAATAACAGAAACAACAAGAACAACAACAAAAGAAATTTATTTAGTTTACTCTTGGTATCATAAGATAAAGTCCAAGATATTTTGTCATCTGAAATGCCATAATGTATGGTTTTATGAACATAAGACGACACCTAATGAATAATTTTACTTGATATTTTTTTATCTGATCCAAGCTCCACTCAAAGGGCTTGCAAATTAATACAATCATTAGATAGACCCGGGGCCAGTTTCTAGAAACCGTTGTATGTCTAAGTTTGTGGACATCCCATAGAAACGCATGTTAATTCTATAACAAACGTTTGAATGGGATGTCCAAGAAGTAAGACAATTTGGAACAGCCCCCAGAATCTTAGATGTGGTCAGTCACGTATGGGACAAATAGCACAGTCTTGCCTTTTTATAAACCAGAGTTTTATTGCTTTGTTTGCTTCACAGTTCATGTGGTTTTGCTGAGGAGTTAGAGCAAGGCAAACCTGCCAAGGCAAAGTCTGTTACATCATCATGTGGCAGTGTAAGTATTCCTCTGATATTGTTATCAAGAATTTCATATTTTGTCTTTAGCTGTTTGTCATTCTTACTCCTATTCGTGTTTACTAACCATGTGTAAGGACGCGGGGATTCAAGAACGGATTTAAAGGCCTCTTAATTTGAAATATTGTTTAAAAACAATGTTATTAAAACTGAGACTAGCATTTTCTTTCTGTGTCAAAGGGATATTGAGAACAAGTTCAAATGCTATAGGAGACCATTCTTACTTTGGTATTGATACAGTATTAAGAAGCAGCGACCACATCAATTAATTTTTTCAAGGAATTATAAATGCTCTGCTCTTATAACTTGAAGTAGGAAGTAGATTCAGTCAGTAGATTTTATGTTTTTCACCGGAATGCCCCCTTCTTCCTTTTCTGCACCATTTCAGCATGACCAGTGTTTACCCAACCATGCATGTTAATACTTGTTCTTTTGCTTTACATGCAGTGCTACTTGGGAGATGCGTTCAGGTGTTCAACGTGTCCCTACCTCGGTATGCCGGCCTTCAAATCTGGAGAGAAAATTGCGTTGTCGAGTAGGCAACTCAACGCCGATGCCTGATATCATTACCTTCTTTCTACACCAGCCTCCAACACCAGTGCATTACGTGAAAGAACAGTCTGTACCATGGTAGGCCGGCCTTCAAAACCTGGCGAGAAAATTTGGTTGTCGAGTGGCAACTAAATCCAGACGCCTGACCATTACATCTACATAGCATTATCACCGCCCCATGTGTATTATTCAACATGTACCTACACTGTATATTGATCTGCCAGTCTTCAGATCTAGATGGATCTTGTCCTCAAACAGGCAGATGCATGATCTCTTGTCTTCAATCGCATCCTCAAAGACCATGGATGTTGACCAACATGTCCTTACCCGAGGCTCGACACCACCATGTGCCCGGGACAAGTTGGTGCCCAAAGTCTAGGTATGGATCCCCAAAATTTCAACATGTCTACACAGGACTCAATGCATATAGAACCCAAAATTTCAATCTGGACCCCAACAAAAAAAGTCCCAAGCATTGCCCTACCTCTGCAAAGTAACCTTCGTCTGATCCTTCATCTTGTATACCAGACTCTATCACCAGTTTAATATACTCGACATGTTCTAATTGAAACTAGGCATTCAAGTCTTTAGACCATTAGAGAAAATCTTGTCAATGAGCAGACTTGATCAGATGCCTTACAATCGCCGACACTGGTCAAGTACGTTTGACATGTCCATATCCCATTATTCAGAGAAAGGGATTTCGGTATTACTCGCACATCTTTGTTATCCACATTTTATTTTTAAAAAACTATTATACATGTTTACTGATAATTTAGATATTTAATGATAATTTAGGTATGTTATGATAATGTAAATACATAATGATAAAGGTAATAAGGTCAGCATTTGAGCAGAGAGAATATATATATATTCATGTCATTTTATAATTCATTTGCAGAAGGATATATTACTGAAAGGTTAGAGAGCATAGGATAATGCCTTTCCTGAAAATTTCCTTCACAGGTACTAAGGTCATTACCATTGAAAAATAAGTTATGTGTGCATCGCATGCTTGATTCATTAGTTTTGAATTTATTTTGAGGAAAATATTTTTCTGTGTTTACGAGAATTGTACAGTACTGAACATTTTGTTTGTACATTTAGTTCAACAGTGGCAAATGATGTTTTTTTTCTTTGTCTTCTTTTGCCGGTCAGTATTTTAAATGCAATTAATTTGTTCAGTAACAACAATTTTTATTCTCAGTATTTGCTTGGACTCATATTTCAGGACTCCTGTGGTTTTACAGAAAAAACAAATATCAGACTAAATTTTGATTTCTCTTTCCTATTATATAAAGAGTGGAAGAAAAGGAAGCTCTGTGTAATATTTTCATTTTCATTTTTTTGTCCATTCGAAAGATGAATGAAAAATGAGTACTAACTTTAAAGCAAATTTCCTTAGGTTGTTATAATCAGCAAATATTATGTTATACACTAGTTCTCACATCTGCATCATGCCCTTTTATAAAAGAATGATCATTCTGGTTGTAATTTGATTTTAAATGTGTTTTGAAGGTATATATCTGCAAGATTATTATTAAATTATGTTAAGAATGATAATGATTCAAATCAATGAGTTTGTTCATTTGAGTTTTTCTTTATTGAAATATATCCAAAATATATATTTGTATTTCAACCATCACTCATATTTATAGTGGCAATTGATGTGTGAGTGAGTACTGTAACTCGGGATGTAGTGATATTATTTCTGAGCAGGGTATTACAAATTTTGAACGTCTATAAGAGAAGAATGTCAACCAGCATGGCTGAACTCTGGAGTATGTGTGAGGTTTGATAAGCTCATATTCAGAAAGGCCATATACACTTGTAGGGGTACGATGGAGGGGCTTCCTGACACATGTTGAGTTTTTCGCATCCAGGCGGTGACCAGTTCTGAGGAAAGATTAAAAAAGTACAGGAGAAAGTTGGTCAGGAATGTACAAGGCAAGGATCTCTATCTCCCCCTCCTTCCTTCTTATTCTCTCTCTCTCTCTCTCTCTCTCTCTCCCTCTCCTTGTCTTTTTATTGATGTGTTAACTGGTGCTGTTATAGGTAGTCATGTTTTCACATTAATTACCACTATCTTGTATTCATGGCAAAGTAAATTTCCAACTGCAGTACACTATGATATATGCCTTCCTATTTTGTGTTGCTACTCTTAGACAACATCTGTTGTACCAGGTAGTCTTTTTTAATTGTCATCGCTATCATAACCTTTTTTTAGCTTACCTTTATTGCATCATCACACATGTTAAGTTGTGGTGTACCAGGGATAAGATAGGTCTTGTGATCTGCTACGACCTGTCCAATTTTAGGCATCACTGCTTTGTACTCTGCCGTTGTGTTCCTGAAGAAAGGAATCAAATTACAATTGAAATCAAAATTGTAAATTGAATATGGAATATTGAAAATTGAAAATCTAAATTGGAAATCTAAATTGGAAATTGGGTAAATGCCTTAAATAAACATCATGAACTGTAGTATCCATGTCCATGATACAGGATTATGTCTGAAGAACATGCTGGTGTAACTTTACTGAGAATGAGATTATTATAGAAAGCTGTTCTTGCCCTCATGTAAAGAACATAGCACAAAATTCCCTTACAGATTTGATTTCAAGTGTGATATAGGAGACATAATTGCTCATCATATCTTTTTCAAAAACTGATCAAGTTTATGACAAATTTCTCTTGGTAAATTTCTCTTGGTAAATTCCTAATTCTTAGTAAATTTGAAACCTATACTTATGCGCCTTTTTATTTTCATATTGCCGAATTGCACCTCTCCCAATTCCATATGCTATAGCAAACACAAAATGGCCTTCCTAAATATAATAAGAACAACTATTATGCTGACGGCATCTGATAATGCACAGAGAATATTTCTTACTTGATGGGGTACTTCTCACCAGGGTCACGTCCAAGATGGAAGAGAAGCGGAGAGAGGGTGTGGTTAACCTGGTCATGGGTCATGACCCCTGTGACATCCTGCCCAGGGCACACATCCGATCCCTAGAAGGTTAAATGTATTTTTGTTTAAGGATGGTAAATCACCTCCACCCCCCCCCCCCCCCCCACCCACCCCCCACCACCAGTCTCCTTTCTACTAGCTTCTCAAGAGAGAAACATGTGTTCTTAGTTTCATTGATGGAATTTGTGAACTATGAGCTTGAGGTATTTTTTTCTTGTCAAGTACCTGTAAAATTATTGGAGTGGAGAGAATATCTGTATTGTTGATAAACTACGGTATGCTTACAAAAGACAACAGTCCTCAATTTTATAAAAGTTCTTTACCATAAATGATTAACACACAGTACTCCAACATGTCTGAGTCTTCTTTTTTCAGACTAATTAGTGATAACCAAGGTTTTTAGCTTATCCAACCGTCCAAGTTGTTAGAACTACTGCTGCTATTGAAATTAAGACAACATCAAGTTCCTTTGATCATACTTACAAGCAAAACTTGTGAAAGAGGGTCTGTCCATGTCCAGTAGTGAGCCTTGTACTCGCCTAGCCTCACAGCCATCATCTGGTTGCCACGGTAATAGAACATGGTCCTATTCACATCCTCTTCTCCGTTGAGCAGGGCTGGTAGTAAGCTCTGACCATCTATGAAGCGGTCACTAGGGGGTCGGATGTGTGCCAGGTTAAGGGCTGTCGTGAACAGGTCCATGATATTGCCAATTTGATGGGTTACCTTTTTGATATAATAAAAATAATAATAATCTTTCAAAGTCCACTCCAAATTATATTAAACCGAAAATGGAAATTCCTTTTGCCCAATTGATCGTGAGCCCGGCATCCACTGAGCAGCGCCAGGTCAATGTTGCTCTATCCCTTTATTGTTGACCGCCAAACAAGGTAGCAGCAACTCCCGTCTTTTAACGTCTTTTGGTATGACGCGGTCGGGGTTCGAACCCACGACCTCCTGGTTGTGAGGCGGACGCTCTACTGACTGAGCCAACACATGATTAAGAAGCATCGAATAGTATTGGACAATTACAGAAAACTCTCATCTTGCAACACAAGAAGAAGTGGCCCCAAAGTCAGCCTCTGCTAGTAGCTCTTTCTGAATTTGCCCAAAGTTAAATTCCAAAAACTTATCAAGTTGAATACATGAATATCCAATGTTGGATTATTTAAGTAATATATGGGGTATTGTTATGTCCACTGTAATTGTGAAAAAACATACATTTGTTTGTTGTAGTTTGTGTTCTAATTGAATTCTTAGATTCTTCATAAATTCTTTTCTTTCAAATTATACGAAAAAAGTTTGATCCTTGAAGGTCCAAAATATCCCCCAAAAAAAAGAAAAGAAAGAAGTGCATTGTAGTATATATCAAAACAAGAATATCATAGTGTAGACAGAGAAGTATTCTGTTTTCTCATATATAAAAAAAGAACGTTCTCTCAGGAGTGGTTCTAGATGAATTCTTGTGGGGTGGGAGGCTATCGGGGGGAGGGGGTGCCTGCAGGGTTTTGCATTCATTTTCTGCATGTTCCTTGGCAATTTTTTTTTTTTGGGGGGGGGGGAGGATTGAGCTCCCCTACCCCCACCCCCTTGAATCGCTACTGCTTACTCTTCCAGGTTTGATGTGTGTTGGCCACCAGGCTATAGTTGGTACTCTCATTCCTCCTTCATAGGTTGTCCTCTTTCCACATAAATAAGGCCCATTTGTCCCACCTGGTGAAGTTGAATGAATACAACAAAAGAGAACGAAATATACTTCCTGTGAAACCTCGGATCTATATACTCTTAACCGTTTTGATAATTTATTCATCTATTTATTTATTTATTATAAACTACAGAAGCCTTGAGACTAGGCAATGGTTGAAGTGGAAGGGGCCACGTGCCTATTTAAATTGACAAAAGACAAACAAATATGAAGGTTATGGAAAAAACATTCTCCTATCCCCCCCCCCCCCCCCCCCACTGAGCGAGTCTGGGAAAGTTTTTATACTTTTTCAAATTCAAATTACCAGGAGGAAGAAAGCAGGGCCACCCTATTAATACCCCCCCCCCCCCCGGAAACGTGTTCACACTAGGAGAGTTTATGTTAAAAGTCTGGGTTACTGAACTGCATCTCTCTCTCTCTCTCTCTCTCTCTCTCTCGCTATTTCTCTCTCTCTCTCTTTCTCTCTCTCTCTCTTTCTCTCTCTCTCTCTCTCTCTCTCGCTATTTCTCTCTCTCTCTCTTTCTCTCTCTCTCTCTTTCTCTCTCACTCGCACACACACTCTGTCTCTCTCTTTCATCTTAACAATACTAAACTATGATGTATTCACCATTTTCTTTGGCATACGTTGCTGCTCCATTGTCAGACGTAAAGACAACAAAAGTATTAGTATCGATTTGAAGCTCCTTGAGTTTGCCCAAGATTTGCCCGACGCCCTCGTCCAACTCTATCACGGCATCTCCATACAGTCCTCTCTGGCTACGCCCCAAAAAGGGCTTGGAGGCGTAGACGGGTTCATGGGTCGCATCGGGGGTCCAGTATAGAAAGAATGGTTGCTTGGCTTCAGCTGACTTCTCTATGAAATTCAATCCTTCCTGTAAACGATGAATCAAATGTTTCTTTAAAATATAGATGTGATCCTTTTTAAAGTAGATGTTTAAAAAAAATTGCTTTTAGATAAGACTAGAGTCTTTCTTGAAACTCAAGCATAATATAATTTTTATTCCCATGTTTTTCATTCTGTATAAATGTTAAACTCTTACTGCAATTTTTTACGAATAGAGGTATGTATTGAAAGTAATTTCTATATGCCTAAACAAAACATTAGTAGCTGCGTCTTTTGTAGAAGGAAGCATAAAAGCATGAAATGCACGCTTAGAATCAACTTTTGACCTTAAAGATGTCGAAATGATAGCTTCTTTAAGGAAGCAATACTGTGTTTTGGGGGACAATAAGGTTAAACACTGAACTTTTATTTCGTTCAATTCAATTCAAATCTTTGGAACCCCTAAAAGACGGAACTCTCCTTGTGATCGGGGGCCTGTAAACAAATAAGAACACGATATGGAACATAAATAAGAAAAGTAAAGGACTTGCATTGTGTCGTTGTGTATGCTTTGACAAAAAGTAGAAAAAACATTATTAGCAATGTTATATATGGCCATTTTTACCTTTATGTAGAGTTGAGTAAGATTTGATTCCCCATTCTTTTCGATGATGAACTGCTCAAAGTATCTGCCTATCATCTCAGAATCTCTATAGACTGGTATGTTAGGCAGGCTCTTGATGTGACAGTTGGGTGCTCCGAACCACTCGTCGAACCCGTGTTTGAGGGGTAGGTACTGAGGGAGGTGACCGAGGTGCCTACCAATTTGAGGGATAGGGGGAAGAGGAGGTAGAAGAGGAGGATGCAACGAGAAAGAAAGGAGGAGGAGGATGCATGAGAAGGGGCAGGTGGAGTAAAAGAAGAGGAGGAGTAAGAGGAGGTTGCATGGAGATGGGAAGGAGAAAAGGGAGGAGGAGGACGATGTGTGTTTGAGAAGGGGCAGATGGAGTAGAAGAAGAAGAGGAGTATAATAGGAGGTGAGAGGGGAAGGGGACAAAGGCAGAGGAATCGAAATTCACGTAAATACCTTAAGAATATAACGCCCTATTACATAAATATTTAAAAAAAAAGAATATGACGCCCTATTGCTCTAAAATCTAAAGAAACGAAGTTGACATCGTTTTATTTAATCCGGAAACTCAATACTTTCGTCATTAAAGAAATAATAGAGAGATATTTAGATACATAGGTGATACTGAGATAGGCAGGAATAATGAGAGTTGGATAGGGAGATGGTGAAAGAAAGAAAGATGAATATATATAATGATAGAAAGAAAAAGAGATATAGACAAAAGATAGGGTAGATGAACTGTAAATGCAATGCAAACAAAATTAATGATGAATGTAGTTAAGTGACATTAAAGGGTTTCAATGCGCATTAAAAAGTATATTTAAAGAATTAAAAGTTAAAACAGGGGGAGGGGTGAGGGCATTTTTGGGTTCGGGCAGCCACTAGCTGTGCATAATATAATATCGTCCATTCACTTACCATTTTCCGACAATCTTGCTCTTATATCCAGACAACTTGAGCAATTTAGGCAAGAGTATTTCACTATCGGGGATGCCTCCCTTTACTATCTGTTGACTCCAAGCATTATGGGCGTGGCCGTTGGTGGTGTAGAAACCGTTGCGGATTGGTAGGCGACCCGTTAACAGCGCGGCTCGAGCTATATATGCAAGGGGTTGTAGAAAGAGGGAGAGAGAGAGAGAGAGAGAGAGAGAGGGGGGGGGGCAGAGAGTGATTGGGCGGAGAGAGAGGGGGAGAAAGACAGAGATGGGGGATATATATTTTGACTCAACAGGGCCGTTTTTTGTTCCGTTTTTTTACATCAGAGAGGGTTGGATGTGACACCCCCCTCCTTCCGACCTGGGCCAACCGACTTCAAAATTTCTGTCAAAACCCTTCCAGAGACAGTTGTACATTTTGTTGGCAGATCCAATATTCTTAGAAGGGGAGACGCAGCAGGTATCAAAAAGTTTTTGACGAAAAAGAAAATCTTCTTATGGTAAGAAGTACATTGAATGTGTTCTACACCTTCTTCTTCATGATTAAGTATTTGGTTTAACTATTTTTTTCTTGTTAGTGTGACTCAATTTTTGTTCCTGAAGTAATTAATTCAAATTGAATTGTTGTGCTTTATATTCTGCAATTTATTGTTTGTCATATATATATATATATATATATATATTGACTACTCGTCATTTATATATTAAGAATATGTTTTAATGTTGTATTGAAGAAATAAAGAAATGTTGCAAAAACCAACAATCCTAATCTTATCATATTTTTAACGGAGCGACATTATGACCAAAAATACAGAGGTGGGGGGGGGGGGGGGTCTCATATGTAGCTTGTGTAGGGACATGCAGTTTGATCTAAAAGTCTTAAACGTTTTTTCCACGTTTATCCTCATGTCGGTATTTTAACAGTAAAGTTTGGCGGGGGTATTCCCCCCCCCCCCCCACAAAAAAAAGATCCACCACGGACATTTTAGAACCAATATCGGCAGGATTATAATGAGTATCACTTGGATTACAAGCAGAGTAAGCTGTAATTAATTGAAATTAGTCAAACAGTTGATATTAGCTCATACAACAACAATATATATTCACAATAATTTAATCAATTATACTAACAAGGGGAGCCCAGGGGGTTAGCGGCATAAAAGTCTGGTAGAAGGATGCCTTCCGCTGCCATCTGATCCAAGTTTGGAGTCTCTTTAGCTGGGTTACCATAGATACCAAGATCTCCCCATCCCATCTGCAAGATATTGTATGACTCTTTGAAACACATCAGCAAATTCAGCGATAGAACAAGAAATCTATGTAATTAATTATATTAATGATATGTATAGAAATGAAATGATGTATGTTTACAAAAATTGATACCCAGGTACATTAACAATAATACATGTTCAAAATGCATAGTAATGACGGTAATATGGTACAAGGGTTGAAGGGTGATAGTATCATGTATTTCTTCTTCTTCTTCTTCTTTTCATTATTTCTTCTTATTTATTCCTACCATTCTTCCTCCTTTTAATTCCTCCTTCTCTTCTTTATATTCATTCTCCTTTTTTCGTATAATTCCCCTTCTTTCTTCATTCTCTTCTTCTTCTAATTATTTGTTCCTTCTCGGTCCTCCTCCTCCTCTTCTTCTTTTTCTTCTTCTTCTTCTTCTTCTTCTTCTTCTTCTTCTTCGTCTTCCTCATTTCTCCTACGTTTTGTTTTTCTTCCGTTTTCCGTTAAAAAAAAAAAAAAATGTATATTATGTCAGACAATTTTGATCAAGTGTATTAGTAACACTTGTATAAGTCTAAATGCCTAATGGATATAATATAGATGAATATTATGAAATATTTATGACTTACATCGTCCATGAGCATGATGATAATATTGGGAAATGTTTCTGATGACCGAGTATCTTTAAGGTGCAAAGTTACGAGGAAAAGAAGGGCCATTCCCACATGTCTGAATCTCATGACGAACTCCATTTTTCTTCAATCTCAGTTTTTTTCTTCAACACAGGCTAATCACTACATTGTCCAATTTCTGATTTAATCTACAGCTCGAAGAATTATAAACGCAACATATGAGATGTATACTCGTCTGTGGATCGATCTGCTATATAGTCTGTAGACATCCAAGGTATTGTATTTGTTTTTGGTCGAGCAGTAGACGGCATACAGCGTACATACCGTCAGCAGAGATAAAAAAAACAACCTGTTGACTGTATTATCTGTGAATAAACATTCAAATAAAGCCAATAAGCTCTAGCTAGCTACTTCAGACACTATGATACAACCATTTATGAAACAGTACAATAATTAAATGACTTCAATAGTTTTATAGCCCAAGCCCCTTTTTTTTATATAATTAAAATTAGTATCAATCAACTCATGGAAATTTAAATTATGGTAGTCACATTATATTTATAGCCCCTACTTTTCCTCATATGCCCTTCCCGCCGCGGTTCGCTCCTTCATCCAAGCCTGCCGTTGACAGTCCGAATGTAAATTGATATTAAAATCTTTGAAACCCAGGCGCGTACGCAGGATTTTTCAAGGGTGGGGGGGGGGGGGGTTAAAATTTGAAAATTATGCCGAAAATTTCGCAACGACTCAGCCAGCCGCTGAATAAGTGGGGGGGGGGGGGGGGGTAAGAGAACAGGAGAACATATATATTTGTTTTGATCCCAAAAATTTCGCAAAGACTTAGCCAGCCGCTGAATAAAGGGGGGGGGGGGAGAGTACATTTTTTTTTTGAGGGGGGGGGGGTCCCCCGCCCCTTCCCCGCCCCGCCCCGCCCCTCCCCCTCTCTCTCTCAATATATACATATCTCTTCTCTTCCCCTTAAATTGCTTTCTTGTTCATAGTAGATTTGCAAATTTAGCTCTACTTTACCACTGTTAATATCTGATTCTTTGTCATTTAGATAATTGGGAGATTGTGTTTATCCCCCACCTCGATCCCCGCCCCTATCTCTCTCTCTAATATATATATATATATATATATATACCTTTATCTCTCTCTCTCTTGGTTAAGTTGCTATCCTGTTCGATTTGCAAAATGAGCTTTTCTTTCCACCGTCTCACTTTTTCCTCGTTTCACATAGAATGAGATTGGGTTTATCCCCACCCACTCCCCTTATCCACCCTCCCCCTCTTTCTCTTTATGACTCTCTCTCTCTCTCTCTCTCTCCCAGTCCCCCCTCTATATCTCTTTCTCTCTCTCTTCCTAATGGTCACTCTAATTTAATAAACAAGTAACTATTCACTTTTTATCCAAATTTATTGCCATTTCAGTTCCTTTGTCCGTACCCAACGAACAGATAAACAGCTGGAATGATATTTGTAACTTATTGCAGGTAAAATACAACCGCCCCCATTCAATTTTCACAGGAACATGACTTTGGAGATCCTGCTGGCTCGTTCTATGCTCTGTCAGTGGGGGTGGGGGGGGGGGGGGGTCCACAAGATTTAAACTTTTTCCAACCCTAGTATACTTATTTTGCATCAAGGGGTGGGGGCTACCGTTTAGCCCCCGTCCCCCCCCCCCCCCTCACCCCCTGAATCAACCAGTGGTCACTACACTTCTATATTCATACCTACTACTTCTAGTGTCAGTTACTATATCACCACCTTAATGTTACATACATAATTACTCTTAAAATAAGTATACTTTGATCACATACTGCCAAAGATAATTGGCTTTCATGTGAAACAGTTCTTCGCCAATTGAATATCTACTCTATAAAATCTGATATCATAATAGCTTTGTTAAATAAATATATTCATGAAATTCTTTCAATTGACATTTTATGAGCCTCTTAAATAACACATATTTTTGGTAGAATATATAATTCTACAAATACTGTATATTCATAACCCTCAAATTTTTCTTAAATGACAGTGATAGTTGATCATTCTTTAAATCTATGAATGTTATATCATAATAATAATTCAATTGTAAATTGCTCAGTAAATGAGATAAAAAATACACACTTGTTCATAATGATTGAAAACAACATTTGAGTATAAATATATGTCACCACGAGCCCATTTTACAATATCAGCATAGATATGGAATCTATCCATTCATAGAGGAACAACAATATGCAGCAATTAATGTACTCTTTGGTATCTCCAAGTATATGATTAGAGTTCAAAAATACTGTTTTTAAAATGGAACATGGGAAATATACAATATAAGTACAGTAACTTACAGACTTTTAGATTATTGTAAGCACATACTTTGTGACTCCTTTTACAGTCGTTATTAGTTAGCAGATGGATATTACATTCAGGATCTTAAAGAAAAGGAGGGAAATATGAATTTTGATGAAATCACAAGACTATCACAGACTGTAACTTCGCTTTTGCTCTGATGTAAATAATAAAATTAGAGAAGACTTGTACATACAATTGTCAATACAATATAGAAGTAGACATTTTGAAAAATATAATTTGTCAATATACATTACACTTCTAAATACCACATTAATATGTTTTTAATGAGAAAGCACACATTAAAAGACAAAAATAAAGGCCAATCATTTTACAGTAATTTGTCTTCAGACAATTGGGTTTCATAAAGATTACCAGAAACCACATGTATAATAAATTCTATTTTAGTGACAACAACACTAATTACAAGAAAACCATTCAAGAGTCACCATGTAAAGTGGTAATCCAGGGCCCCATCTTATTAACAGTTGTGATTTAATTGCAACTAATTTTACAATTTATATCAATCGCAACTATGTACATAACAGATATGAGAGTGCAAACTTGTGATTGATTGGAAGACTTGCGAATCAATCGCAACTCTTTATAAGACGGGAGCCAGGTTTAGATGTCTGGAAAAAAGGCTAATGAGGCCAAGAACATTTTTGTGGTTCGGATGCAGGTCCTTTCAGACATTTGTTGAGCTTCTCACAACCAGGAGGGGACCAATTCTGTATTAAAAAAATTTAAAAAGGAAGGGGGTGGAGAAACAAACAAGAAACTGGTTAATTGTAATTCACACAAGTCAAATCCCACCAGTAGTACAGAGGTAATGTACTGTTAATTAAGTACCGGTAAATAAAGTAAAAAGTCCCTTAATCAAAATGTGAGTCAAACAAATGTCCAAGGCAAGAACAGCATTTACACTTCTATTAGTTCCTGGTCCTGTAGCACAAAGCCTGTTAGTGATCAATAGCAAATTTATAACAACGATTATGATTGGTTAATGGTCAGCCCATTGAACAATATGGGCATGCAACGATGATCTTCATTGGCCATTGTCATTTTGCAAATGATTACAAACATTTGTGTTACGAGACCATGGCTTAGAACTTTGACTATGGCAAATATTGTAACTTCAGAACAGAGAGGATTGAAAGACTAAGATGCATACAAGGATTATTTAGATTATGGTCCATCAAGATTACCTGAGATTTAAAAATTATCAGTAGTCAGATTGAAGCTAAGAGCTTCACCACTCTTATGTTTCAATTATCTTAGTTTGTGCTCTGCTTTGAAATTGAGCCAATGACAAAGAACAAAAAAAATGTAAAATGTTTGTCTGCAAATCAACAATAATTATCAGCACACTTTGAAATATTTCTCTCTAGTATATAGAGTACAACCTGTATATAAAGACCACTCAAGGAAGACAAGAAAAGTGGTCTTTATAGGCAGGTGTGGTCTCTATGTACAGTTTCCTTTATTATATGTTTCAATGAGAAACCATTTTCAAGGGAAACAGAACATGTGGTCTTTAAAGACAGGTGGTCTTTCTATACAGGTGGTGGCTATAACAGGTTTGACTGTACATACCATGACAGCATTATCACACATGTTGAGCTGCGGTGTACCAGGGATAAGATTTGCTTTGTGATCCGCTACGATCTCCATGATCTGAGGCATCTCCGCTTTATACTCTGCTGCTGTGCTCCTAATATGAAAATGTAAGAAAATGACATATCAGAGGAGAATTATCTTGGTGGCTAGAGGAAAATGTAACCCTACTACTACTACTACTACTACTACTACTACTACTACTACTACTACTACTACTACTACTACTACTACTACTACTACTACTACTACTACTACTACTACTACTACTACTACTACTACTACTACTACTACTACTACTACTACTACTACTACTACTACTACTACTACTACTACTACTACTACTACTACTACTACTACTACTACTACTACTACTACTACTACTACTACTACTACTACTACTACTACTACTACTACTACTACTACTACTACTACTACTACTACTACTACTACTACTACTACTACTACTACTACTACTACTACTACTACTACTACTACTACTACTACTACTA